TGAGACCGTCTTACCAAGTTGCCCGAGTCGACCTAGTGATCCTGCCTCAGTCTCCCAGAATGGTGGGATAACAGATGTGGTGTCACCACACGTAGCAAACAACCCACCTCAAAGACCAGGCCAAAGACTGAGGATGCAGCTCAGGGGGAGAGCACATGACTGCCATGCACAAGGCCCTGGGTTCTGTTTCCCCTCGGTGAAATAAAGATGTACGAGGCAGTCATGGGCTTCCAGGAGGAGAAACAAGAAGCCAGCCCCTTCCTGTGAGCCAGCCAGCACTCAGGCTTAGTTAGAGACAAGAAGAACCAAGCCCACCCCCATAAGTAACTGGCTGATTCGGAAAAACACAGGCTAAGATGATAGTTACTGAAGTAAAAGAGAGAGAGAGAGAAAGAGAGAGAGAGAGTTTAATGCTTGCAGTATTTAGTGTTTGATTTACTTTGTAGGCCTAAAGCTGGTAGTCTGAGCACCTATTTAGATACAATATAGCAATTATAGGGATTGCCTTCTGAAGGTGGTAGCCATTGTTAATTCCACATTATCTTGTTTTAAAGTCCTGTATTATTTTCATTGTTTTCTTTTGTTCAGTTTTATTATTTTATTATTATATCTGACAGCTGGATGTGGTGGCACATGCCTGTAATCCCTGTGCTCAGGAGGCTGAGGCAGGAGGATCACTGCACATTTGATACCAGCCTAGGGTACAAAGTGAGCTCAAGGCCAGCCTAAATTGCATAGTGATATCCTGCCTCAAAAAGAGGGCCCCCAAAAGCCTATATCTGATGGCATAGACAGCTTTTTCAAAGACAAGAAGATATATTATGGTAGCCACTAGTGATTTCTTATTATCTTGTTTTGAAGTCAAACACTAAATACTACAAGCATTAATCTCTCTCTCTCTCTCTCTCTCTCTCTCTCTCTCTCTCTCTCTTTCTCTCTGTCTCCCTGTATTGCTTTGTTGTTTTGTTTCAATTTGTTATGTCTGATGGAATGGGCAGCTACTCTGAAGATAACAACAGGCATTTTGGTAGCCACTGTTGATTTCCTATTGTCTTGTTTTGAAGATCTGTATCACATTCACTGTTTATTTTGATTGGCCTTACTCTGTTTGGTTTGGTTTTATTCTCCTTAAAATAAAACGATGCAGGATTAAGCATTTTATCTGAAAAGATTCAGAATGTGTCACAGCACAAACCAAGATGCTCAAATGTATTAGTCTTTAAAGAAGTGCAGCGTGAAGCTACAGTGAGAGTCCGGAAAGCGCTGGGATGGCTACAACAACAACCAGACAATACCAAGTGTTGGCAGGAAGGTAGCAAACTCGAAACCCTCCTTAACAGGTGGCAGGGATGTAACATGGCAAGTTCAAGGCCAACCTGGGCACCTTAGGGGAGACCCTGCCCCAAAATGAAAAATAAAAAGGGCTGGGGCTGGAGCTGAGTGGTAGAGCACCCTTGAATTTGATCCCCAGTACAACCAAAACAAGCACAAACACAAACAAAATACCTGCCAGACACTCACCATAAGACCTTGCACATCTAAGAATCCACCCAAGAAAATGAAACCCACATTCACACACAGAGCGGCTGGAGCTCTGCCAGGTAGCAGGCGGCACGGCCCCACATTTCCTATATTTTGTGGAACTGTATGCTTACAGTGGGTGAGTTTTCGGGGGTGACAATTATACAGCTGAGCCCCTCTGGCAGCTGAGGGCAGCAGAGCACTGAGCTGCACCAAGAGGCTGAAACAATTTACAAACTGGACGGTCCGACCTGGGACGCTGAGCACTCATCGCCCATGTGGAACTGGCTCGCTTGCTCCAATCCTCTCCGTACAAAGAAGTTTCCAGCCCAAATAAGGCTGCACTTTTGCCATGCCCCTGGCACAGAATGTGATTTCAATTGCCAAGGTTGTAACTCGGGCTCAAAACTTCCCAACGCAGCACGGTGCCCAGCAACGCACTGGCCCCGTCCCCCTGGGCAGCACTCTAAACAAACCAAGGTAAACACTGTGTGTGGCTGGCCCACTGCAGGGCTCGGCCCGCCTGGCAGGGAGCAGAGTGCTCTGTGTCACCTGAAAGGAAGCTGGGGCCCCGCCCTGGGCAGGGCTGCGGACCAACAACCTTCACAGCTGTAACTGGCTCCTGGGCTCCCGGAGGATCTCACCTCTGCCAGGGACCCTGAGGACTATTTGCTGGCCCTGCTATCTGAACAGGTGTAGTCATTTACTGCAGGTGCTTCTATCTCTTGTCACTGTAGCTCTGCAAGATGAGGAAGAGGACAGAAAATCAGACACTGCAAGGACCTTGAGACATTTACCACGGCAACCCTATGAGCCCCTCTTACAGATGAGGGGACAGGCACGGAGGGTTAACCTGGGGACGCACGTCAGGGCTGATCATCTCCAAAGCCAGGTGCCGCAGCTGGCCCTGTGGCTTCTCAGCCCTGGGGAGCAAAGGGCAAGACCTCCTCCTTGCAGCCTTAAAGGCAAAGGCCAGTCCCCATCTCTGAGGCTGGTCCCCCACCACTGAAGGACTCCTCAACTCCCCTGAGGCCCCGCTGAGGTGCTCCCCTCCGGGAAGGGCTGCAGCCTGCAGGACACTGTCACCAAGATCACATCTGCTGGCCAGGGAGCCATCCGGCTCTAGGGTACTGTTTTCCCTCCTTCGGGAGAAACTGCCCAGCCAGACTGGAGAAGGTTTTTCAAGCCACCAACTACACACATTTTCCTAGTGAAGTCTCTCTAGGATGAGAAATGGAAACTGCACGTCGCCCCTGTCAACTCTGACATTTTAACAGAACATCACCAACGGATAAGCAGTGGTCAGCAGTGAAGGGAAGGAGGGAAGTGGGGTGCAGTGGTCACAGCTAGACACGGTATGGGACAGTGTCACGGAGACCACACACCTGGTCACAGACCACGTCAGGCCACAATGCTGCCTACTGGTCAGCACAACGACGGATCTGCACAGCCTGCAGGTGGCGACTGCTCCCTTCTGCTTTAAAGGTGAACACACAGGTGTCACTAGGGGTGGTGGTGCTGGCACTCATGTGCACCCTGCCGGGGCTAGAGACTCTCGTCCCAGCCCACACTGGCTGCTTTCCGGTACCTAAGCCTTTCCTAGTGGCATGGCATATGGCCATTTCTCATTCTGGACAGCAACAGGGGCTTGGATTCCAATCCTACTTTTTCTAGGGGTGGGGGAGGGATCCACACTGTCTCCCTGCCCACAGTGCAGATATCCAACAAGGTGTGCAGATGTAGGCATGGCTGGGCCAGCAAAGATCCTTCAGAGCAAGTGACAAAACCCCGGGGCAGACTTTCTTCACCTAAAACTGATTTACTAATCCAGGACACTGGGAAGGAGAGTGGAGGCCAAGTGTGCCTGGATCCAGATGCCCTGATGCTGGCGTCCTGGTCTCTCTTCAGCCTCCTCCTGTGCTGGAGACGGCATCCTTGAGAAGGCCGGGAGGCTGGCTGGCTGCTGGCCTCCTCCAGTGGAGGAAGAGCGAACATCTCTCTTCTAGCATCCGTGTGTGGATCCCAGGCAGAACCCCTGACCTCGCAGTGGCCAAAAGCATGGTGACACAGCATCCTGCTGGAGATACGCAGCCGCCCTCTGCTTGACCCAGGGGGCCAGGCTGAGAAGCAAGTCAGGAAGACAAAGCATGGGTCCGCAACAGTCAAAGCGCCACTTTCCCCCACTCCCCACCAACAGCGAACCATGCTCCCTCTAAAGCATCCATTTCTTGCAGCTCCTGCTGCGTCTCAGGGACCCAGGAGCACAGCCACCACGGCTCTGCCCCTGCCAGCACTCACTGGCTGTTAATGTTTGAATGAGCTCTGCATGGCACTCAGGTACAAAATGCAAGATCCTGTCCCCTTCCCTTTCCTACTAGTTCATTTCAAAGCCACGCTCGGGCTGGGTGCAGTGGCACATGTCTATAATCCCAACTGCTTGTGAAGTTGAATCAGGAGGGTCACAAATTCAATGCCAGCCTGGGCAATTTAGCCAAGACTATCTCAAAATAAAAGGGCTGGAGTATAACAGTAGCAGAGAGCTTGTCTAGTATGCATGAGGCCTTGGGTTCAATTCCCAGGACCACGAATAAACAAAGCCACTTACAGGAGCAAGCAAGCAAGACATCCAGAGGGAGAGGCCTGGCCTGGCAAAAGCAATGACCAACATGTGCAACCTGGCAGAGGACACGTTCCAAGAGGTGCTGCGGAAAAGGCACCTGGGGGACACGGTTGTGGTCACAGAGCAAACGCTCCAGAGGAGGCTGAGGCCAGAGGCAGGGGCATCTGGACACAGGTCAGAGAGGTTAGGCCGCACTCTGGGGCTATGGTAGACATAACTGACACAGAGATGCAGGACAGTGGGCCAGGGCCTGGGTCAGAGGGGGCAGCAGGGAGAAGAGTGGGGTCTGCCTGGGGCCCTGCAGTTGGGAGGACACAGAGGGAGCGCAGGGAGGCCTCTTCCTTCTCATTAATGGGAACCCATGGTGGGGACCGAGAAAAGCATGTCCCATTCAGCCAGTCCCATCCCCACAAAACAGCCTCTCCCTCTTTCTGCCCTGCCAATTTCACAGCGCTAAACATTCCAATTAAAAACCCCTTTCTCATGGATAGAAAAGCCAAGCAAGGCTGAGAGTGGTGGCACAGGCCTGCAATCCCAGCACTTGGGAGGCGGAGGCAGGATTGCCTTGAGTTCAAGGCCAGCCTGAACTACATAGCAGCACCCTAGCTGCAAAAAAAATTGTAAAAAAATCAAGTGAAAGTTATCTTCCGCTTCCCCTCATCATGGCTGGCAGGACAGATGTCCCCAGCAGTAGCCCTACACACCCACACCTGCTTGCCACCTATACTATGCTCTCAGATGCCCTGAAGGTTGACAGCAAACTCGAGCTCATTCTGTGTCCAGCGCCCACTCCAGGAAAGGGTCACTGGAGGAAGAAAGGGCAAGAAGGTCACCTGAGTCACCGTAAAAAGACTATGGATTGTATGCATGTCTTTTATTGCACTTTAAAATAATTTATGTCCTTTTGAAATAAGAGCCTCAGACTAAAATACCTCTGTGAGGTTCTTATAAATATTTGGCAGAGTGCTTAGGGAGTCTTGGAACCATAAGCGTCAGCAACACGGACGCTCCGGGACGGCTCTCTCCCAGGAGGGCCACTACAGAACGGCCACTTCAGCTGTCGTCCAACCCGTTACAGAGGGAGGACCAGCACCCACCAGAAGCTTCCCTAAGCAGAGGTCAGGCTGCATCCATGGCCCCCAGGGCAAGAGCCGGAGCAGGCACTGGGAACACAGGAAGGCGGCCGCAGCTGGCGAGACGGCACACACGGGCAGAAAGCCCCTTTCGGGACCCGCTTTCTGGGGCGTTCAGGGCTTCCGGGCCTCTTGGTTCTTCCTGGTGCCTCACCCAGGCAGCTGCCGTGACAGAGGCCGATGCCAGGCACATCTCCAGGGAAACAGGATCTTCCCTGAGGCCCACATGTGAGATTTCCGGTCTCGCTAGGAGTGATGGAGGCAGCAGGGAACAGGTCATCCCTGAGGATGCCCGTGTGCCCCTGTGCCCCGGGCTTGGCAGCAGCTGCAGTCTCCCACTCTGGGCAACCACCATCATGTCCCCTTCTCCTTCCTCTTGCTCGCCCTCTGGCTGCTGAGCTCCCCCAGCTTCTTGTCCAGCCTCCTCTGGAGCTGGGCCCTCTTGGCAGGGTCCAGAGACCTGTCCTTGGTCCCGCTGCCAGCATAGAGGACCCCCTCCCGGCTGATTCTCTGCCGGGCATGGACTCGAGCCTTCTCACCGCAGCCGTGGACCTGGGGAGGACAGGACAGTCAGGTGGGCTGCACGGGGTGGGGTGGAGGACACACACCAATGGACCACACTCCCACTACACCCCAGGCTCAAGCTCCCCCATGCTGCAGCTGGTATGGTGACATCATGGCCCTGGTGACACCTCAGCGCCACCCCCACCTCAAGCCTGATGCAGCTACGCCCTACCCAGCCTCTACTGTCTCTGCATCCACTCTGCTCCACCCACTACACTACACCCATGGCTTCCGCAGGCTGGAGGGGCTGCCTTCCTGCCTCAGCCTATCTCCCCATGGCTCCCCACCTCCCACCCCTCAGGTGTCAGCCCACCCTGGGTGGACAGGTCTCTTGATGCTGCCCTGGCTCCTGGGTTCCTTCCTTGGGGTGCCCACTGCACCAGACCAGTACCCTAAGCTGGTCTCCGACCCTGATCCCACCAGGCCCGGATGTCCTATGCAGAGGCAGGGCCTGCTCCAGCCCACAGGTCTCACTGGCACATGCTCAGTCAAGGGGTGAATGAAAAGACCATCAGGCTGCTGCCACCTGGATCCATAGATTCCATGGCCCTGCACTAGGCCAGATCACCCACTGACCGAGCCCGGGACACTGGGACAGTCTCAATGCCCACACTCCCAACGTGGCTCGGACTCAGCTGAGATGGCATCTTACTTCCCCACAGCCCAGGATTTGGGACAAACCCCAAGTCAGTGTCTCTTCTTTTTTTTTTTTTTTTTCAGTCTTTTTCCTTTTTATCAGTCCTGGGGATTGAACTCATGACTGCCTGCTTGCAAGGCAGGCGCTTATGCCGCTGAGCTAAATCCCCAGCCCCCACCTCTTTTGTCTTTAGAGAGCACACCCCTTAGGACAGCAGGGCGCCTGCTGATGGGGCAGGGCTTCCGGCATGTACGGCCCTAACATCCAGCCAGGGCGGGGCCCAAGTACCTCGGGGAGGTGGTGGCTGAGGCAGTAGCGGTGGCCACAGAACTGGCAGAACTGTCCCAAAGTCACGACACTGGCTGAACATTTGGCAAAGCTGCAGGTGTTGTCGGCCTTCACGGCAGCTGACACTAAGGCATCGAAGTCCTCCTCAGTAGGTTGATCCCTGGCGGGGCGGCCTGGGGAGAAAGCGCCATTCGGGTAAGAGGGGAACACGGAGACCGGGTTCCCCCTGGCGTCACAGCAAGCTGCAGCCGGGCCACGGCCCCAAAGCATCCCTTCCAGTTCCTGCTTCTGGGCCCCAGAAGGGACACTCAGAGGGACTCACTGTCTGTCTGGGCTCCATCACCGCCAACTCACCCTCATCTTCACTAGGCCACTGACCCCCAATTCCTCACTAAAGCCAGGGTAGCTCTGCTCCCTGGGAGGCGGATGGCAAGACCTCCGGAACAGGACTGGCAGCATGCAGGTGCCCCCCATATCCAGAACACATTTACACATGGGATGTGCACATGGCATCAGCTGCAAAAACAAAACCCCAGACCAACAAAGGAGCCCAGTTTTGGGAAATGGCTCCCTCTGGGGGACCTCTGGCTCCCCAACAGAAGCAAGAAAATATTTTAAGGTATAAGAAAGGCTCAGGTGGGAAGAGCTGCAAGGTTCCATACAGTAAAACGCAGGTGGACCACAAATGCCCATCCACACACAAGTGCAGACACGCAGGACACAGGTGGGTGGGGAGCCCCAAGTGGTGACACAGGTGAGCCCCAGGATGCACTCAGGCAGGACTAGCCTGTTCCTAGGTGCAGGCGCGTGCATGGGAACTGGCCACATGCGTCAGAACAGGAAGCCTCACATGTGTGGTCACAAGGAAGCCTGTGACACAGCCCAGGGGCTCCCTCCCGTGTGCCCCAGAACACCCTCAAAGGCCCTGGTCTGCGGTGGCTGCTTCAAACCTAAGCAGGCACTTTCGACAGAGAGGAGGAAAGGAAGAGGCTAACCTTCCCCCGACCCAGGGTGGAACCAGGTGGCCTGGAGGCCTGGGGGAGGCGCCACCGCAGCACAGGACAGCAAGCATCCTCAGGAAACGGGGACCCAGGGCCCAGGCACGGCATGCTCAGGCGGCGGGGGGCAAGCAGGCAGAGCACACTGGGAAATCTGGCAAACACAAGACCAGCCTCCATCACTCACCACCTGACCTGGGAAGCTCATGTGACCCAGCTGTGCTGCCGTGGGATGGCAGGGCCACCCCAACCCCCAAAGGAAGGGCTAGGACAGAAAGCTGCTTGGGCAGCCTTTGTTACAAAGGGATCCACATCTCAGCCACTCCCTAGGACACCAGCACAGAGCCTGATGCCCTGCAGACAGGCCACATCCGAAGCGGGAGTGGCAAAAGGCACCCAGAAGGTGGCTGCCAAAGGAGCACTTTCACAGGGGATGGTGCCAGCTTCCCTGAGTGGGGCAGGGATCTCCAGGATGCCCAGTCCTCCGACACCAAAGCACAGGTGAGCACCTACTGCACCTCATGGGAAGAGGAGGAGATGGGTACAAGGAGGAGTGGGTCCCACCCCAGCGGCACACGGGCTTGGAACCTTCCTCTTTGGGGCGGGAATCGTATCCCCACTCTCAGCTTAAAAACTGAGAAGGTCGCTTTCCTCTGCTGGAATCTCATGCCCACAGGGCTGGGCTGGAGGCCTGCACTGCTCTGCTTTCCAGGAGCTGATGAAAGAGAGCGAGCTGACCTCCTGTGATCTTGGAGACAGGGATGGGGTTCTAACAGGGACCTCCACAAGTGTCCAGCAAGTCCAGGCTGTGGCCCATGGGGGCACACTCCGCATCAGTGCGCACACACCAGATCCCGGGGAGAAGCATTTGGTCCAGCATGACGGTGTACAACAAGCTCAACAGAGCACCGTGCCAGGCTGAGCAGGACTCCTGCGGTGGGAGCCGTCCCACCTGCCAGGCCCTAGCCAAGGCTCTGGGGCCAGGAGGGAGCTGTCACTCAGGGGATCCAGGGGAGACCAGACAGAGCCAGGAGCAAGTGACATGATTAAAAATACAGTGCAACATGACCAGTGGCAGTGCCACCCACCAAAATCCATAATTCTTTTTGAGGGTGGCAGGTTTCAGGTAAGGCACCCGACACTTGTGCTCCCACAGTTAATACAACTTACCCTTGGCTTCTTTTTTCTTTTTCTTTTCTGGAAACTTCTGCAGCCCTGAGCCCAGGACTGGCTGCTCCTTCTTGGCTGGCTGTTCCTGGGTGCCCTGCACCCTCTGCAGCCTCTCTAGGTGCAGTACCTTCAGGTCCACCCCAGCCTGGGTGCACTGCTCCTCAGGGGGCCGCTCTGGCTGCCCAGGGCTGGAGGCCACAGCGGGGAGGGGAGCTCTGCTGCTGACCCCGTGGCCCCTCTTGCTCACAGTAATGCACCTCGCCTTGCCCTCCCCAGCACTGTCATGCCGCAGCCCGTACTCCTCGGCTATCTGGTGGACCCGAAGCCTGTCGTGAGAATTCAAGGACGCAGGAAACCGCAACTGCATCTCCTCACTGGCCACAAACTCCTCGATCATGGCCCTGAAGCGCTCTGTGCCATCTGCAACTCTCGGGCCCTCCTGGCTGTCCCCATTGAATCGGGGTTGGGAAGGGACTTCAGAGGCCAAAGGCTTCGTGCCTGGCTTCTTCTGGTGCTGCCTGGCAGCTGCTCCAGCCTCCTGGCCACCCTCTGGCCGTCCACTTCTGGGCAGCTTCCTGGCCGAGGAAGTGGGGCCTCGAGGCTTTGCAGCAGCCTGGCTGTGGCCCTGTGGGCCCTCATGAGCATAGTTTACAGGGACAATATCATCAAGATACTCAAAGGCTGTGCGCACTTCCCCATGCTGGGTGACATAGTCCACCAGGGTCTTCAAAAAGGGGTGGTTGTTGACAGTGCGGGAATCACAAACGAGTGCCACATGGCGCCGTGCTCGGGTGACAGCAACATTGATCCGCCGGTCCTCGGCCAGAAAACCAACCTCACCTAAAGAGCCAGGGGAGAGGGGAGCAGATCTAAGAGGGAGAAACAGGAAACAGCCCCTTGCACCCTCATCTGGGGTGTCCTCAGCACCCTCACGGCTTGGAGACCCCAGCCTGTGGCCCACACCTGTGGGTGCCCTCCACACGCATGCCCATGTGGCCTGGCTGTGATGTCTGATGAGCATCTGCTCAGCACTCAGTCACCACTGAGTGTGTCTGTGGGCACAGAAACGGGCTGGAGGCTCCCAAGCTATTGCTGGGCCCAAGTGCAGACAGACTCCACCTGCCTGAGCCAACAGACGAACATCCAGAAAGGGGAGGCAGCAGCCGGCTCCCCAGGGGAAGGTAAAGGACCTTCCCACCTCCTTATCTGTTTCCAATCTTTCCCAGAGGACGTTTCCCAAGCCCATGAGCTAAAGCTGAGTCTCTGGGAATGATTTTCTTATTGTCACAGCTGTGCTTTAAGGCCATAAGACAAGCTCTAAGCTCAGTGGGGTGACCTGGCCATTTCTAGCCCACTCCCCAACCACCAGCTGAGTGCACACTCGTGCCACCGAACCTCGAGATTCTATTTCCTCTGTCTGAAACGTGTGCCTTCCTCTCCTCAATTCACTGGGCCAAGGAGAGCTCGGCCTCAGCGGAGCTGCTGGGACGTCACCCCCAGGACACTGCTGGCCTGCCCAGGCTCTGCTGATCCCAAGGGGTCCTGGTCACCTTAGTCGCCTTAGTCATTTGCTGCGAGTGACTTATGGAGGACACAGGCTGCACCCCGAGCCACCCTGGCAGGGACGAGCAGAACTCGACACCTTCAGAATCAGCACTTTTGTGAGCCCCGGAGAGCTCTGTGCAGGCCTCTTACCCTTCCTGTTCGACCTGACGAAGGACAACACCACAGCCTCCTTCTCGCGGCCCTGGAAGCCATCAACAGACTTAATCTCCAGCTCAGGGTGCTTGTGCTCGAGGCTCTGTCTAAGCAGGTCCACCTGAAACCCGAGCACAGCCACGGCCTCGTCAGCCCCGCAAGCCAGGGTGGCACTGAGACCCTGCCCTCCTTTAGCCCCTAAAAGGAGCCCACAGGCTCAGTCCCCGTCACTGCCCTTCTCCCAGGCACGTGGGGACAGCAGAGAACACAAAGCTGTCAAATGTGAGCTTCTGGCTCCTGACAGCCACCACTCCCAGACACCCGTGTGTGACACCGTGAGCCAGGACAGGTGACACTGGAGGACACAGCACCCCAGCAGTGTGCACCTACCCAGCCAAGCCGCGACAGAGACCTGACCTGGGCCAACACAGTGAGAGCCAAAGCCCAGGCCATTCCACCCTGAGGCTGCCAGGCCACCGGGGGTCCCTGGCCTGAAATCAGCTGTACATCAGGACAGGGCAGTGTGAGATGGACACACAGACAGCTAATCAATCTAGCCATGATGAAGTCAACTCCACCCTTGGGTTTTTGGTCACCATAACAAATAGTGTTTTACATTCTTTTTGTTGTTGTTTTGTTTGTGACAGGGTTTCACTATACTGTTCAGACTGGCCCTGAACTCACTACTATTCAGGCTGGCTTTAAAGTCAGGGTGATCCTCCTGCCTCAGCCTCCCAAGTGCTGGGATTACAGGCATGTGCAACCATGCCCACCTTTTTCTTTAAACTCTTTGGGCTGACCAAGTCTCACTGGTACAGAGGACGAAAGGGGATCTAAAGGGGGGTACCTCACACCTGGAGATTGTAGGGCGTGATGACAGCAATGTCACTTGCTTGGACACCAGCATCCACCAGAGCCTGGATGTGCAGACTGACAAGGCGGACTTCACCTGGGGTGGAGAGAGGGCAGGCTGTCAGCACGGGGACAGGCTGTGCTGACCTGTGTGGCCAGGGTCAGAGGCACCAGGCCTTGCACACAGGAGCCAGAGAATGTGGGTTCACCAAAATGGGGATGACCATCCAGAGCTGTCAAGGCTAGAAAACTTGACTCGAGGCTGGCTAACCAGGCCATGAGGCTGTGCGATCGTGAGATGGCCAGGAACCACTGCCCTGCCACCCCCAACACCTGGGTGACAGTCCCTCCGAGCCCGGCCCCCGACCTCTGAGCCAGCCCTCAGCCTCTCCCTCCTCCCAGTGCCACCCTGATGGTGGAGTAACCTGAAGCAGCCAGGTCCACAGGGGCACCCAAGTCCGTGGGAGGGGCTCACCCGGGTTTCCCTTGGACTGGTCATCCTCTTCCTCCAGCTCGAACAGCCCACAGCTGGCGGTGTCCACGAGCAGCAGGGGGATGCCCGTCTCCTCTGTAGCAGTTACACCTGGCAGGTCCCTACACACAGGCAAAAAGCTAAACTGCACAACATCAGGAGAGGAGAGGGGTCTCCCTGCCGGGGGGCGCCCAACACACCAGCTGCACTCCCTTCCAGAAAACCAATCTGAGGGGACTTATGTGCTAAAATCTTGATGGGACACACTTCGCTTGGGATGGGAGGGGAGGCTGGGGCAGGGCAGATCACTCACCTCAGGAGCTGCCCCGCCACCGAGGAATGGGCTGTGAGCTGACCGCCATACATGGCCTCCGAGGCCCAGTGCATGATGGCCTGGTGCATACGGTACTGCACGGTCAGCGTCCGCACCACCTTGTCACCGTGCTCCTCAGCAAGGCGCTCCATCAGGCTGAGTGACAGCCCCTCCTGCGCCGCCCTGCGACAAGGGAGGAGGGGAAATGGCCTGAGTGCCGAGGTGCAGATGTGAAAGCAGGGTTGAGCTGAGTCAGCTGAGTCACGGTCCCCAAGATGTCCCTATTTCCCGGACCTGAGACTATGAGCCTTTCTGAGGAGCCCTTGAGAACACTTCCCCGGAGAAGCAAGGGAACAGACACCTGTGACTTCCCTTCAATCCAACAAGACAACCTCCCCAGCTCCCTGCTCCAGCCCACCCCAGACATTTCCTCCCAAATCCTCACCTGAGGAACCACAGACTCTACTTTCTTTGGGGACACCCTCCTCATCTCTTTCTGGTCCTAAGAAAATGACCAGAGCTCCAGGTTCCACCCTGACTTCTGCTTACACACAGAGTAGACAATGTCAAAGAGCCGAGAGAAGCCAGGAGGAAGTCACCATCCCGAGGGCAGCAAGGGCCGTGACATGGAGTCCAGGGGAGCCCTATTCCTTGAGGCTGCCGTTCTGGACCTGGAGCTATGTGTGTTCAAACATCACCCCTGTGCCAGCCCTGCCCTTGGGCTCCTGCAGCTGACTCCGGATGGAAGGTAAGTAAACGAAAAAACACAGGGTGAAGGTGGGAATTTCTACTGACAAAACTGAGTCACACAGGGACAGAAGGCTTCTGTTTAGACAGCCAGGCTGGGGCCAGGCGGACTCTCATCTGAAGGGCATGTTAGAGTTTATGTCCACATGTCCCCCTAGAGCCTCAGATGACCACAGGCGGGCCCTCTAGGAGCTGACTGGACCACGAGGCATCCATCTCATTGAAGTTGGGAGGTAGGGGCTGGCTGGAACAGGCGCGTCACAGCGGGCATCATCTAGAAGGTTCTCTCTCCCTACCCAGCTCCTCCCTTGACTCTTTGCTTCCTTTCTACCGTGAGGTGGGCAGTTATTTCTCTGCCATGCCCCTGTGCTAAGCTGGCTTGCCTTGCAGCAAGCCCACTAGGGACTAAAACTCGAGCCTAAAGTTATGGTGTTAGGTATTGTCTCAGCATCGAAGAATGTGACCAAGACAGGAAAGGTGGTGCTGCCCAGTCTGGGGGTTAGAGACAGTAGCCCTGGAAGTTTGAGGTGGCCACTGCGGGCCAGTGAAGGGAGGGATGGGAAATGAGGTGGTAACAGAGGCTGTGGGCCACAGCACTTCCTCCGACTCGGACAGGCTGTGTCACCTCAGAAAGATTGTATTGGGTCACCACCAAGACACAGGGGACACCATGGTGCACCACAGGGACTCCTGAATCTCCCTAAGTCCTCTGTCTAGGGGACCACAGAGCCCACCTGAGACTATGGGGGAACTGAAACTGAGCTTATTGGAATGAGTCCAGCCAGAGCAGCTCTAACCCTACCCCACTGAGCCTGCCTGCTCGCCTGCCTCACTAGGGGATGCACCAGGCACAGGGTGAGGGCTGAGGGCAACGTGACCCCACCCTCAAGTAGCACACGGTCATTTACAGGAGCAGACAACAGCACTTGGCAGGAGCAGTCCCTGGGACAGGTGCACAGGAGGGCACAGGAGGTAATGGGGACACCCGGGGGCTGATGGGTAAGGGGCCAGAGAGACTCTAAGGGGCTTACTGGTGCGAGACTGTGGTGGGCGGCAGCTGCTTGTGGTCTCCAGCCAGGATGCACTTCCTGGCCTTCAGCAGGGGGATCCAGCAGCTGGCTTCCAGGGCCTGGCCACACTCATCAATGACCACCACGTCGAAGTAGCTCTCAGGAAGCAACTTGAGAGGGCCGTCAGGAGAAGCACCTGGGGGACAGGGGACTCAGTCTAGAGGCACTGGCTGATCCACTTCAGCTGCACCTGCAATCACCTGGAGACACACACCACGCCAGCTGCCGGAGCCGGTCTCACACCATAACTGTGACATAAATCTGCATCTGGGATGAAGACTTGGAAAGGACAGTAAAGAGGTCATGGTACCTGACAACACAAACCACTGCACCGGACATCCCTGCTAACCCGAAGCAGCGCAGCGGAGACAGCACAGCTGGGAGAGAGCCTGGGCCCAGGCGGCCCTGGCAAACTGCAGAGAGTGCAAGGTGAGCAGCTAGCTCCCCTGTGCACCACACTGGAACCACAGGCAACTGGATGAGCACCGAAGTAAAGGCCTGGCTCAAGACGGCAGGTGCGGGCTGGGGATGCGGGTCGGGGGTGCAGCGCTTGCCTGGCCTGGGAGGGGCCTGGGCCCCAGCCCGAGCACCATAAAAAGAAAAAGAAATCCTGCCCTTTTCACCCCCACCCCAGTGAACTACGCTGAAGATGCATGTGTGTTTATGATGATGTATGTATCTCAAGAAAAGTCCCAAGACAGACTTGTCAGAGGTGACTAGGGAAAGTGCCACAGAGGACATAGAAAAGGGTCCTGAGTATAGATGAGACTTCATAGCACAAAGAGAAACCAGACTTCGTTTGTTCTTGTTTTGTCTTGTTTTTTGACATAGCTGGGGATGAAACCCAGCACCTGACATGCCAGGCCAGCACTCTACCACCGAGTTACACTCTAACTCCTGGTGCAAACACTTCTAAGAAATCACCCAGTTCCCCAGCCAAGGAGGAGGGACCGCCAGTGGCTCTCTGGATGCAGAGGAGAGAGGTCCCCTTCTGATCGCCAGCCAGGGCTGCACTTAAAGGGAAATAAGAGCCAGGTGTGGCGCCTGGGAGGCTGAGGCAGAAAGATTTCAGGTTCAAGGATCACTGAACAACTTAGAAATCTCTTAGCAACTTAGAACCTGTCTCCAAAAAAAAAAGATGGGGAGGTAGTTCAGTGCAGGCCTGGGTTCAATTCCTAGTATTACCCAAAAAATAAATAAATAAAATAAAAATAAAGTGAGAGATGTCGGTGGAAACGGCAGTGCCGACCTTAGGAAAGTCTCCTCCACTCAAGCAGACCAGTCATAGCCAACCTGTTCGCAACCCTGGACACTCACCAGTCCTCACCACACTTTGAGGAGAATTTATTCAAGAAAAAAGGCCAAATCCAAGCAAGCACTGCAGCCTTTAAACTCACCCTGTCACCCCCTGACACCACCCCACCCCATGTCGACATTTGAAGCCAGTAGCCTGGCAGCCACCGAGAAACCAGAGCAGCCAGTGCCCTTGAAGTGTCCCATTCCCAAAGACTGACCCTCTACACAGTGGACCCTGCTGGCAGGACCGCCTGACCCGAATGACTCAGGGCCCACCCAACCTCCTCCCCCTGGTATTTGCAGACAGCAAGAGAGGCAGCATTGGGGCTCTCTGGGGCACTGGACAACAGCTGGGGTGAGCACCAGGATAACCAAAATCGAAAGGAAAGCTGGGGAATGGGGCATCCTAGGGCTCTGAGAAGCTCCGGAACATCGCACACAAACAGGGCTGTGCATGAGCCCAGGCGGGACATCAGAGGATGCTCGGCTCTCGCCACCGGCCCACCCTGAGGTTCTGTGCAAACAGGAAGCAGAGGCCCAGACTTATAGACGGCCTGGCTATGTGCTAAAAGCGGGCCAGTGTGCACGCTCCGCTGCTTGCAGAGCCAGACTGACTGGTTCCGGGGCTTCACAGAAACCTCTGATCCCAAGTGGGCACTAAGCTGTGGACAGACTTCAGTGAGGCCAAGAACAAGAGATATTATCTGGGCATGCTGGCACACACCTGTAATCCCAGCTCTGGGGAGGCTGAGGTCTCAAGTTTGAGGCCAGCATGAGCAACATAGCATGACTCATCTCGAACCAAAAGAATAGAAAGGGCTAGGGAATTAGCTCAGCAGCAGAGCACGCGTGGAGTCCTGCGTTCAGCCCTCAATACCACAAGCAGGAAAAGAAACAAACCACAGGCTGCAGGCAGCCACCACAGCCTGACTGCTGAAAGGTGACTGATGACCAAGATTTCTCAAACCGGCAAAACGTCCTTCCAAAACACAGGAGAAGTTAGATCTCTCCAGCTAAAAAAGACTCAAGCAAATTCCCTGCTGGCCAACCTGTCCTTCAAGAACCAGAGCTATTCAGGTAGTGAAAGGACCTAGATTCACACAGAAGAAACCAAGAATGCCAACAAAGGAAACTGCACAGGTAATTCAGGGAGTTTGTGCTCATGTCTGTATTCTCCTTCCTAATTTTAAAGACAACTGGTCAAATTACCAGCCTTGGCTATATAGTGAGTTCAAGGCCAGTTTGGATTCTATAGGAAGACCCTGTCTCAAAAAGACCAAAAAAAAAGAAAGAAAGAAAGAAAAAGAAAAAAACAAAATGCTGGGGATTTAGCTCAATGGCATAAGCACCTGCTGGGAAAACGCAAAGTCATGAGTTCAATCCCTGTACAAAAAAAAAAAAGAAAAAAACAGACTGGATAGCCAGATGTGGTAGCACATGCCTATAATCCCAGCACTCAGGAGGCTGAGGCAGGAGGACTGCCATGAGTTCAAAGCCAACCTGGGCTACATAGCAAAACCCTGTCTCAAACAAACAAATAAATAAACACCAGATACCCAGATAAAGGTGTAATTATAAAGCCTACCAGAGCCCAGACTCTGTTCCTTAAAGTAGCCCACCACCCAAGACGATGTGGAGAGACTTGAGTGGGCTCTGGAGTCCTGGCCTGATGACACTCACACCTTGTATAATTCTCCCCGTTGGGTGTGGGTGGGCTGAGACTGGCTTCTAGCCCATAGAATAATACAAAAGTAGGGTGTAGCTCAGTGGAAAGCATTTGTCTGGGATGCACATAGCCCTGGGTATGATCCCCAGCACCACGAATAGCAATAATAAGGCAAATGTGATAGAATATCACATGCTTAATAACATTACACAAGATCATGGTCCCTCTATGAGACTCAGTCCCTTGCTGGCCCTGGTGAAGTGGCAGGTAGCTAAGGATGGCCTCTAGCCAAAGATCAGCAAGAAACTCAGTCCAACAGCCCACAAGAAATTGGGTGCTGCCCACAGCCACATGAGCTTGGAGGCAGATTCTCCCTGGGCAAGGCTTTGACTGGACCAGAGCCCCAGCTGACCCTGGGTGGCAGCCGGTGACACCCTGAGCCGAGAATCTGACTAGGCCACACCTGGACAGCCGACTCACAGAGAGCAGGTGGTAATAAATGTGAGCTGGTGAAGCTATTGCACAAAAGAGGCCTCACGGACACCAAGGACCTGCATGAGTCCCAGAGCCAGGGGCTGCCAGCATCCTCGAGACCATCCTGAGGTACACAGCACTGTGCCAGCTATCAGGGAGACAGAATCCTGCGCACTGGCCAACATAGCAGCAGGGACTGCACTTAGCACCACAAACCCACTCTTTAAAGTAACGGAAAAAAAGAAAACATGAAACTCAACAAATATCAAGCACAAAAAGCATGAAGAAATCTGGGTACGCTGATGTACAGTACTCAGGAGGCTGAGACAGGTAGATCATAAGTTTGAGACCAGCCTGGGTGATTTAGCAGGACACTGCTCAAAAAACTAAAAACAAAGTAAAATATAATAGAAAGAGCTGGGGGTGTAGCTTAGTCATAGAGCATGGACAAAGCCTTGAGTTCTGTTATGGCTGTGGTGTCCCCCAATGCCTCATGCACTCATAGGTGAGGCTTTGCAGAGGTGGCTGGATGGAAAGCATTATGCTGGGAAGATTCATGGTGCAATGCCAGGATCAAGCGTGCTAGGATTAAGGTTGTGATTACTAAATTAGCCCATGATTGGTTGGCACCTGCCCTAAGCTAGGTAACCTAGATAGAATACAAAAGGGGCAGAAAGAAGCTGCTGTTGTTGCTTGTGGGTTGCTGGCTTGCTCTTGCTGTCTTCTGCCTGCTATGGACTGTTTCTCCTCTGCAATACCCCTCTGCCATGGCACCCTGCTTTGGAGCCCGCTGACTATGAACTGAAACCTCTACAAACTATGAGCTAAGTAAACCTGTCACCCTTTAACTTTGAGTGTTGGGTATTTTGTCCCAGCAAATGAGAAAAGAAACTAACACAGGGCTGAGGGTTTTGCTTAGTGGCACAGTGTCTGCCTGGCAAGTGTGAGGTCCTGCATCCAATTTCTGGTACCAAAAAAAGAAAAAAGCAACTAACACAGGTTCCATTTGTGGTGCTGCACCACAAAACAAATTAGTTACAGACATCTGCTCTAGAGATCTGTTATATAAAAATGTGTGTGGTTAATATACCTTTACCTTAAATAGCATTAAGGTGGTAAATTTTATTTATGGGAGGTTTTTTGCTTTGTTTTGCTTTGGTTTTTGAGATAGGGTCTCACTATGTAGCCTAGGATGGACTTGAACTGGCAGCAATCCTCCTGCCTCAGCCTCACCAGTGCTGGGATTACAGTCACGTGTCACCAAACCTGGCTATTTTGTGTTTCTAACTATAGTTTAAAAAAAAAAACCCGAAAACAAAAACTCCCCATGATGAATGTAATCATTATGAACTGTGGACATGTAATAATAAAAATTTTACAATTATTAAAAAGAAAGAAAAATTCAGGATATTATTTTATTATCAAAGTAAAATTTTAAAAATATCATTACCAAGGATAAAAGTCATTTCATAATGATAAACTGGTGAACATTTAGGTCCCTGAGAGAAAAGCTTCTAACAATTTAAAGCAAAAACTGGTAGAAAAAAAAGTATAAAAGTATACTTTATAATCAAAAGGCTTCAGCACCCTTCTCTCAACAGGAATGGAGCAGGAAAGAAAGTCAACAAGAATATAAAAAACTTAACACAACCAATCACAATCTGACCAACATAACAAAGAGCCCACCAGCAATACCAAGATGCAGGCTCTTTTCAGTGTAAATGGACACACACAAAAGGTGTCCATTTGCTGGACCCTAAGATAAGTCTCAAGGAAATGATTCAAATGATAGAAAGCCTGAACATTCATGGAAATAAAGAGGTCAGGATGACATCTGGGCAAACCCCAACTATTCGGAAACTATGCAACACATTCTAAAAATCAGTGATGTACACCTGTAGTCCCAGCATGTTGGAGGCTGAGGCAGAGGCATCACCATAATTTTGAGTCCAGCATAATCTATACAGTGAATTCAAGGTCAGCCTCAACTACGAAGGAGACTCTGCCTCAAAAAAACAAAACAAAACAAACAGTTCGTTTAAAAAGCAACCAAGATTTCAGGAAAGAAAAGAAAAAGAAGCCTAAAAGGAAATCAGCATTCTGAAACAAATGAAAATAAAAACACAAAACACCAAAACTTAGGGGAGCCACAGAAGCAGTACTTAGGGGGCCATTCACAGAGCTATGTGCCAGAAAAGAACGGCTCTAATTCACGATCTCGGTGTCTACCTCAAGAAAAAGAAGAGAAAATCAGAACTAAGTAAGTACACAAAAACAATAAAGATCATTAAATAGAATGAAATAGAAAACAGAAGAAAAATAGAAAGAAAGCATCAGGTTCTTTGATAACAAAACCTCTAGCCAGAAGATCAGGAGGAAAAAAAGAACAAATCACCAATATCAGGAACAAGAGAGCTGACTATGTCTGTACAGATTCCCAGATGCTAAAACGGTCATAGAGGAGCACCACCAATAACTTGCTGTCTCTAAATTCAACCACGTAGAGAAGGACAAATTTCTTAAACTACACAAGTTTACCCACGGAGAGATGACCCGAATAGTGTTTGCTAAAGAAGCCCCTCCCCGACACACACACACACACACACACATATGCCCTGTTCAAGGCCACGCCGGCAGGTGGGGTCACCGCTCACCTGTGTTTGTTGCGAGGACCACGCTGGCCGCGGTGAGGCTTTCCACCATGGCTGCCTCTTCTCTCTCCTTGAGCTCTTTTCTCAACTGCTTGATTTCACTGCGAAAGTTACTTTTATCCTTCTTCTCCTGGGTCTTTTTGTTTTTCACCTAAGAAGAGAATGAAGAAAGTCATAACTCTTCTAACACAGTTTTGTAATTCTTGTATATTCAGAGAGTACTGTTTATTAACCTCAGTTGGTCCAGTTCAATAAGCTCCTGAAAAGCACTAAAAATCCAAAGATCTTTCTGGAAGGAGCCACGGGGGCACGTGACTAAGCATGTCACATCCCAATGCCTCACAGTCAAGTCACCTGCACAGGGCCAGCCGGAAAGGGAGTACCCAGTCCGGAGCAGAGTCAGGGTTTTAACCGAAGCCAGATGAAGCCAGGCTGGGACCCGCCTGCCCCGCAGGGCCACCTGCACTCCTGGGGAGGACCACTGGATCCCAGGATCTGGGTTGCAAGAGCTCACAAGCTATGGACAGGACACCTCCACAATCATTCCACACATCCCTAGAAATTAAATGTCCCCATCCATAAAAGGTTTCCCTAACCCCCAGTTTACTTTTATACCCCAGGAAGATATGCAGCCTTTTACTTCTGATTTCTGCTTTGGAGGGTGGGGTTTTTGCAGGAGTGAGGGGAAGTTATTTTATTGTATCTAATTTATAAGAAAATCCTAAAGAGCAATGATTTGAACAGGAAGGAGAAAATGAAATTGTCCATACTCGTGACCAAGCAGATAGTAGCACTGCATGTTCCTGCATGTGTTTCTCCTTGGTGCCATCTCCTACCCCCAGCTGGCACCCAGAGCTGTGCATACTGGGAAGCCTTCATGTCGCAGGCCAAGGGAGGAGGGACTCCCAGTATCCCCACTGCTGTCACCACTCCGTTGTGAGGACAGTTTATGAGGGCAAATCTGTAATCTACAGGACCCGAGGGTTCAAAAGCACTAGGCAACATGGGAGACACCACTGCACCCTGAACTTCTGCCCGGTTCGGCAGCTACTGCCATCTCCCTCCACAAGAACAGTGTGAAGTGGCCCCAAAGGATGTGGGAAGGGGCTCGTGTTTCAAATCTCTCTCTCCAGGCTGCTTTTCCCCTCTTGCCAATATTATTCCTCACCAATACTCAAGTACTTTAAAGCAGCTGAGTCTCTACAAAATGCTGAATACAGCTCTCTACCAAGAATGAGCCGTCCCTTGCCAAATGACAGTTCACTGGTTTTTCATTATTCAATCGTGGAAGAAGAGGAATACAGACACCATTTCTTCTTTAAAGACTGTAGACCAGAAAATATAAGCCTTGCGGACAACAGCTCTGTGATACCTACAAAGATCTGATCGATGTCCTTTCTGATGTCTGCGACAATCTGGGCGCTGTCACTTCGAGCTAAAACTGCATCCAGGGAATGCTGCTGAATGGGTTCCAGGAGGCGGGCAGGGTGGCCAAGGCGCAGAATCCGCAGCTTGCGCAGAGCCAGCCGCTCCACCAGATTGTCCACGGCAACGTTAGAGGGAGCGCAGCACAGAACCTGGGAAACACAAGCTCAAGTTAGGGTTTAGTAACTTCCTTCCTAACTGCACCACCTAAGTTTACACTACGCTAAACAGAGAGCTTTTAAAGGTAAAGAGAAAGGGCAGAGCGTGCACGGATGTCAGTGTTCCAGGGTAAAAAGACAGCATTTGCAGAGTGGGGACAGCCCAGAGACATACATCACCGCACACCCACACCACACCTGCACAAACAGAACTTCTATCTTCAAAGCCTCTTAGTCACCAAAGCACCAAAACAAGCTATGACGTGGAACTGGACAGAAGACCCAGAAGAGTCAAGTGCCTCAAAATAGTCGGGAGCTGGGGATCCTCTCATCTCACTAATCAAACTGCACTGTCATCTGATAAGAACAAATGAGGGGCATCTCTCTGCTGAGCTCCAGATCATTCCCAGAACTGCAGTCCCACTGCCAAGAAGAAGATGCAATAGCAGAAGGGAAAGTCCCTGTGTATCCTGGACCTCTTCCTGCTTGCTGCCACCAGCCCACTGACGTAGTCACAGGCAGCTGGACACATAAATTCTTAAACAAGTGCGACCTGTTGCACTCTGTGCACAGACAGAGGAAACACCTGACTAAAGTATCAAATCTGCTTGCTGGCTGTAACACATCTTTTCTTGCAAATTTTCAAACAGCCAAAAGGACACTCCCTAGTGGAAAACACTCGGACAAAGCTTTTCAATGAGCGACAGGTTTCCAGGGCTCTGCATAATCAGCCCCTGCCTCTGCCACTCACTGCTGAGCACCTGGGCCTGTTTCTTGGTCTCCTCTGCCGTGAACTGGGAAGGCCTGCGGTCCCAGCACACGCAGCTTCCATCAGGGGTAATGAGCGGACTTGTGCACAGCACTAGGCGGGGTACAGCCTACCATCGCCACATGTCACAACTCAGACCCTCAGTGAACCCACAGTTCTCATCTTTAAAGTTCCCATATGCTCAGATCTATAATGCCTTGCACTGACGCCAATGAGCACAGATCTTTCCTCAACCATTACAAATGTAAGCAGACAACAATGCAAAATGTTCTGGGAAGAGGCCCAAGAGATGGGGCCAGGGGATGTAAAAAGAATTAACATGTATGCGTACATGAACCGACTCCCTGCGGGGAAGTAACTGTTACTGAATATTGAAAACATATTAAGAAAAATAAAAGTTGAAAAAATGCAGAATGTTAAAATCCCCATCTTAGGTCAGCAATCTGCACCACACATGTGAACTGTGTCACTAAGCAGGCTACCCGGTGAACTGCGGCTCCACCCTCTTCCTCACCCAGGGGCAGGGCTCGCCAGAGGGCAGATCGGGCCCTGGCAAAAGCCACGGCCCCAGCCTGGGCCTGAACACCGAGCAGGAGACCCGTGGGCAGGGGGCAATAAGCCCAGGCAGGCCTCAGTCCTCAACAAAGGCTTACGTAACTTCTCCCTCTCACGTGCTCAGACAGAGGACCTCACACAGCTCCCAGGCCTCATGGGACTAGTGGAAATCAAAAAGCACCTGGCTGCACACTCATCTACAAACACCCGCCGGGTCTGTAACCAAACCCACCTCACCTGCAGCTGGGATGCTATGGGGTACCCAATGGATACTACAGATAGCAGCCCGTAGGGTCGATGAAGTAGCATCTGCCGCCCACCTTTAAGCCTTGCTTCACAGCTTGCAGAATAACTTCCACCACGGTCGTGGTTTTCCCAGTGCCAGGAGGTCCATGGATGATGGCGAGTTCTTTCTGGGACAGGGCAAAGGAAACTGCTTCTTTCTGAGAGGCATCCAAGGCAGTGTTGTAGAACTTTAGTGGGGCTGCAGGAAAAGCGCCAGCATTAGACCCTTGCATTTTGTCACCTGCTTTCTCCCCATAGGGGAGGCACAGACGGAAATAAGCGGAGCACACAGAGCATGCTGGGCCTCCCCAGGACAGAGCCAGCCTGCTCTGTCTTCAGAAGACTTCTGGAACAGTGGTCAACGAACAGCCAAACGTCTGCTGCCCTTTTTCCTAGGTTGTACCAGAACACAGCCAGGCCCGTTCGGGTTCCACATTGTCTGGCTGCTTCGGAAGGGAAGAGCTGCAAACAGACTCTATGTCCCCAAAGGCTAAATATTTACAACCTGTCCCTTTACGGAAAAAGCTTGCCAGCACATCCTCTAGATGAAAGAACTGTCTCTTGGAACCATTTTGTCCCTTTTAAGTGCCCATAAAATGACAACTAGAAATTCCAGGGCCTTTCTATTTGGATCATGAAATACGGGAATGACAAACAGCATGGCCACGATGCTCTGTAGAGAGCAGGCATTGTCACGCGCCTGCTCCACAGAGACACCCACGAAGGAGACACTGAGCTCAGCAGCAAAAGGCGCTAATCCAGACACGGGAGACCAAAGCCGGTGGGTAACAGTCCTAAGAGCAGGATTAGGGGGACAAATGTGCAGGGAACCCGAAGTTCCCAGCCACGTCCTGCTACTCCACACTGCATGCTTTTCCCTGGACGGCAGCTACACCCAATACACGCCACTGTCCTGAAACACGGTTCTAACTCAGGTTCCAGCTCACAGTAGCCCTGCAAACCAATACTTGGCAAAGAGATTACTGTAATGTGAGTGCTTTCACAAGATCCTCAGGAAAACAGAGAGAAAATGAGTATTTACAAAACAATAACCACTGAAAAGCGCTCAAAGCAGCATGCTGAACACTGACTCCGCACTGGAGTGTGACAGCCAGGTGTCATAAAAAATGCTGTAGGAAAAAATGCTACAAAAATACACACAAACACCAGCAGGAAGGCACTCAGACATGTATCCAGAGACAAAAGTCAGTGTCTTTCTCATTGTACCTTTTCAGACTCTTGCCAAAACAGCTCAAGGTCACATTGTTCTTGATAATTTCTACTAAAAAAAAAAAAAATTAAAAATCTAGAAGTTCTCACGTATTTCCTGGGCAGGGCTGGGGTCAGATCCACCGAAGAGGACCTCGATGAGCGAGGACGCGGGCCCCGAATGGTACTTCTTCAGGGTAACCAGGGCTCTGTGAGGGGAGAAAGCCATAGTGAGGGGCAGGTGGCTAGCAGTTCAGGGTCACCATCTTACAGGGTCACACGACAGTGCAAGATCTTTTGCTGAGCAGGAAAGGTGTCATTCTCTTGTGCAGAGGGAGCCAAGGGTTTACGTTTAAGGAAAGCGTCCCGTCTGACCCCAGCCACACACACTTACTTCTTCAGGCGCTTGTAAGTAACGTCATTGGCAAGCTTTAAGAGTCTGTAGAAGTTCTCCCGGTCCAATGTCAACTGGAAGTCATGGGACTCATCAAAGGCCACTGAGACGGATTTCTGGGTGATGCGGGTCAGGATCCCAGTGGCCAGCTGCCTGCCTTCGTTAGCAGTGTCATACAGACCCACGATATCACCTGCAAAACCCAAAGCCCAGTTCCATAAAACACTGAAAAAGATTCATTCTAGGTTGGTTTTGTTTTTTGTTTGTTCGGGGTTTTTTTCTTTTTTACAGTGCTGAGGGGCAAGCCCAGGGCCTCACTACCACTGAACTGGTAACGTCCTGTTACGTCCAGGCCGTCCTGTTACTTTCCATAGTCCACGAAACCAGTAGGCATAAGACAAAATAGTGACCACTAGATCACATGTGCAAATCCACCTGAGGTCCATGAACTGGTCAAAATAAGAAAGACAGTAAACTCGCCGCTTCAAGGACATGAATAAAACCCACCTGGCCTTGAGATTAGGAAGGAGAGAAACAACAAATGTCACCATCTGCCAGAGCTCGGTGCCAAGGGCTCCAAGGAGCAATGACACAGGTAGGGACAACATGCTATTTTCCAAAGCTCTAGTGAGAAGGGCCCCTTGGGAGGGGGTACAGCAGGGTGGACACTGAAGGAAGCAAGGCCAGGAGCCCAAGGGAGAACAACTCCAGGCAGCAACAAGCATCTGAACAGGGGACACGCCCGCACTCCCTTCTGCTTGTGACAGTTGCACTGTCACCCCCCACGAGGGGAGTCTAGAGGGCTTCCCCTGACCATGCCTTGGCCAATCCACGCTCTCCAGCCCGTGGCCACAGTGTGGGTTGAGGGATGAGCATGTGGCCAAATCAGAGCCTGAATTGCAATGAGATTTTTTCCGGGCATCTCTCCCTCCCAGCTAGAGAGAAAGTTGAGAGTGAGTAGGACCAACACTGCCCCCATGCTGCGTCTGACAGGAAACCCAACCAGAAGACGGCAGAACCAAGAAAAGGCAAGACATTAAGCCCTGGCATCCTCCTTGGGCATCCTCCTTGGGCATCCTCCTCGGGCTGTGCAGCCAGGCTTCACATCACAACCACCACCACGTTCCTGTCCTGCCACCTGACTCCTGAGCCACGCCGAGATAGAAGCCAGGGCTGCACATCTATGTACACCCCTGCTCTGCAATCCATGCAGCAAGTCTCACCTGCACCTTGGCTCCCCTGCCCCACCTCTTGATCCAGCTTCACAAAGACCAACAGTATACGGCAACCATGGTCCTGGTGGGTGGGCAGCGGATCCTGCGACCTGACCCAGGCCTGGGTACAAAAGGCAAAGATGGAAACACATGGCATCTCCGGGTTTATGCCGGTCTGCTGAGACCGAAGACTGCACCCAGAAGATGGACCGATAATCAAGCCCCTGAATGGATCAAAATTTCAGATGTGGGCCCGGAATGTGGCTCAGCACACAGCACCTGCCTGCTAAAAGTGAGACTCTGATTTTAATTCCTGGTACCAAAAAAAAAAAAAAAATCAGTAAAGTTTCGGGCTGCTGCCTTCCCACACCAGGGCTGCCTCCCCTGACTTCCTGTTTCCCCACCGCTCATTGGTCCTGTGGGTTCCTCACTGCACAGTGCTAGCCACACGAGTGTGTACGTCACCTGGGCATCTCCAGAATGTGCCCGCCTCCTGTGGATTCATGCTGACAGTGACGCCACAGGTGCTACTGTACCCGGCCTCGGGAAAGGGAGACACTGACTCCAGCTCACATGACAAGAAGGCCTCAGAGCCCAAGGTTAGATCAGACTCCCGCCAGCAGCTTCCCCTCGTTACTTCACCCCTCTCTCACTTCGTTTGCTCCAAGTTCAGCCAGAATCCCAGTGATTGCTGGCAAGAAGCTGCTACACCAAACAGGAAATCAAAAACTCCATCGCCACCAACAAGGCAGAGACTTGTACTGTGAAAAGGACAGCATGGGCAACATTGCTGGCCCTAGGCAGCCACACAGCATCCCAAATGTGTGTGTGGTCCAGAAGCTGCTTTTGGGCTAAGGGTGTAGCTCAGGGGCACAGTGCTCTCTCTGCATGTTCAAGGCCCTGGGTTCACCCCAAACAGCATGCCCACACACTCACTTTCTCTCTCTCTCCCTTTTTTCCAATAGGGTTGATGTGAGCTTAGTCAAAGGATGCTCGACAAAGAAACATTTGAGATCCAGAGCTGCACATACTGTGTGCTCAGTCTGTCAGTTTATATAGAAATATAATGAGAGTTGCCTGCAATTTTCATTTTTCTGGGAGTCACACAGAGTTAAAAGAACCACGCAAATTCTTTTCAGTCATAATTTTACCTACCCAACATGTGAAAAATATTATCACTTCAACAGTATTCAAAAATGATTCATGAGCTAAGGGTAGTGGCATATACCCCAAATCTCAGCTACTCAGGAGGCTGAAGCAGAAAGATCACAAGTTCATGGCCAGCCTGGGCAACGTTAGCAAGGCCTTGCCTCAAAAATAAAAATTTTAAAAGGACTGGGATGTAGCTCAGCACTAGAGCACATGCCTACCATGTCTGAGCCCTGGGTTTAACTCAAGATACTGCAAAATCAAGGAGGAAAAAAAAAAATCACACTTGTGATACTAGCAACTGTTTTGTTAACTAAATCTTCAAAATCAAGTGTGTATTTTATACCCGCAACAGCCACTCATGCCAAGTGTTCTATAACCCCACACAGCTCGAGCTCCCACTTCTGGACAGCTTTGATCTGAACAACCAAATGGCCTACATATTTCTGGACTTCTTAGGAAGAGGCCTCCAGCGCCATGCTTTACTCTCCCAATGGGCCTGCCATCCAGCCTTCAGCACAGCACAATCCCCAGCAATGTCCAACGGATGACAGTGGAAAATACACACACCGGAAGTGAAGCTGTTGCTGGGAAGCACTGCCACAGGCCCACATCTCCTGGGCTCGAAGGTGACCAGCAGCCGTCCGTACAGCCCCGTGCGCTGGCTGGACACTTGCAGCTTCAGCAAACACACGCCCCGGCTCTGCAGCTCCTTCAGAGAGATGTTCTCCTGCCAGGACCTGGAAGACACCCAGGACTGATACCTCAGGATTTCTACCTTCCTCTACCCACACAGGAAAGGAAACTGGGGAAGAAAGGTGAGGATCTGTGGCCAAGTCCTCACAGTCCCCTTAGACCCTGACTCCTCTGCCTCTCATCCTGGACACTGTTCACCTGGCCTAAACACAGCCTAACTGCCAGCAACAGCAGTCTGAAAGTCCTCCTAAAATGCCAATCTAGCTGGGCATGGTGGTGCATGCCTGTAATTCCAGCACTCAGGAGGCTGAGACAGGAGAATCACTGTGGTTTGAGGCCAGCCTGGGCTACATAGTGAGTTCAAGGCCAGCCTGGACTTCGTAGTGAACTTTGTCACAAATAAATAAATTAACAAATAAGTAGCCAATCTAGTTACTTCCCTCTCTACTTAATCTTGTTTTGCTCAGAATAGGGCACCAGCTCCTCAGCAAGGCCCTTCTCAGCCTGGCCCTGCCCTACCTATTCTTCATGGTCAGAAATAGATAAGCAAGTAGACCAAGACTCAGGGGCTTCTCTGCCCCCTTGGCACTGTGCTGAGCACAGGACTCAGACTGATTATTTCATTTTCAGAGCAAACCTTTGGGGTGGGAATCACCTGATTTTTTGCAGATAAAATAAGGCTAAGGCGCCTGCACAGTCACAAACACAGGGGCTGGGGTTCTACTAAGGTCCAGGTGATGGCAAATCTTTTACTGTCTTCTTCAAAAGCCTCTCAAACAATCAATGGCTGAGTCGGGAGTCCGCCTAAATTCAAATCCTGACCACTTGTGTTACCTCGGGCAAGTTTCTTTCTTCCTTTTTTTTTTGTCTTTTTCATTTTTATCGGTACCAGGGATTGAACTCACGACCGCCTGCTTGCAAGGCAGGTGCTTATGCCGCTGAGCTAAATCCCCAGCCCCCCGGGCAAGTTTCTTAGCTCCTGTTCTCTCGGTCTCTCTTTAGACAGGAAATAAGACAGTGACCTACTTTGTAGGGCAGCCAAAGAGGTTGAAAAGCATTAATACAACTAAAGCATGAAGTGCCAGCTCTTCTTGCTCCAGGTCAATGGATAGTCACCAGAAACAAGCCCAGCTGTCTCGATCTCTTGTTTCCTTGAGGAAATGTTGCCCACCAGTCCACAGGCTAAACTACCTCTCTCAGGCTGAGGTCAGGCACCACCTGCTCTAGGAAGCCCTCCCGACTGCTCCAAGGAGCAAGTTCTCCCCCACGTTCCCTCAGCTGGCACCGGTGCGGCGCCAGGCACTCTCTCTGCTCAGACCCGGCCTCCACTCGACCTTGTCAACGGCAGCCCCTGTACCTCACTCGTCTTGCCGGGGTCTGGCAGTGAGTAGGCAGGCGCAAGTGCCTGGTGATTAAGGGAGAGGGCCTGAACACTGCGGGCACCTGGCTGGGAAAGCCTGGCACCCGGGGGTGAAGATCCGAGCAGGGTTTCGGGTCGAAGGCAGAGAGCAGACGCTTCCTGGCCTCATCAGAACCAGCTGCCCACAGGCGGTGAGCTGCAGTCTTGCAGGTGACCATGTAGCAGGACTGGAGAGCGGACACCCTTCGGAATGACGGCCCCCGAGAGGAAGGCGCCCGCGGCAGCGCATACCTGCGCTCCTCCACCTCCGCGTCCCTCTCGAGTTCCAGCAGGTACAAGTGCTTGGCCACGAAGGTCTCCACAGCAGCCGAAGCCATCCCAGCTGCAGAGCCGTGTGTCTGGCGGACCAGTGTTCCCGGTGCTCCCGCGCTCCCGTCGGTACGCGACGCCGACGCACAAGGTTCGTGTTGCTTCCGCTTCCGGTTCGGGAAGATGGCGGCGGCCGCAGCATCCTCGGCCCTATGGGGCACCTTGGGGCGGCTGGTGTGTGCTTGCAGCCGCAGCATCTTGACACCGTCGGTGCCCGGCACAGGTGAGAGCAGGGCAGTCGGTAACGGGAAGAAGTGAGAAGAGCGGTTTCCCAGCCGCCCGCCACGTGTTTGTCTACGTCCAACCACCAGAACGTTAGGTTCACTAAAAGCAGGGTTTTTGTTTTATATTTACTGCTGGTGTATTCTCACCCCTGGGCGGGTGTTTTACACGTAGCAGGTGCTCAGTGAATGGTGAGTGAATGAAGCCTTTCTAAGGCATCAGATGAAGCCTCTGTTGAAACACTCCAGGACCTCAGCCTTACACTGCTGAAAGCTCTGCATCTCCGCACCCAATGTGCGTCCCCGTAGTTCCGTCCGTGCGGCCCCGCCCCGCAGGCCTCTGTAAGGTCGTGGTGATTTCACTGAGTGAAGCGGTGCCTGCGTCATTCCCGCAGGATAGTAGCACGATCTGACCTAAGCTGCGACAGAATCATTAGCTGCTGTGTGAGGCAAGAAGATGAGGGCGAGAGCAGGGTATTTGTCTTAATCCAGGTGAGAAAAGGTGATGGCCTTTCTTAAATCAGTGATTAGCTTCTGGGCTCCCTGAAGGGAGAGCCACCAGGTTTGCTGATAGGTCGCCAGTAGGAGTGTGAAAGAGAGTAATCGTAAGTGATGGCAGTTTGGGGCCTGAGGTGCAGGTAATCAGATTTGGCATCAAGCATGATGGGGAGGAGCGTGGGAAAAGCATGTGTGGGAACGGATCTAGGCCTTTGTTTAGTGTGCAACACTCAACAGACAGAAGTGACAATGGCGCATAGGTGATGGGGAGGGCCAGGAATGGAGTCCAGGCTGGAGAATAAACTCAGAAGTCACCAGCATAAAAAGGACCCGTCTGATAACACAGTCATCAGGGAAATCACCATAGTTAGAGGTGGAGCCTAGGGGCTAAGTTGCAGGCTTTGGAGAAGGAAAGGAGAGGCCAGCCACAGAGATAGAATGGGAACTAACTGCTAAAGAGTGAGCTTTAAAACGATGAGTTTCCTAGTAGAGAAATTACAGCTCAACTTTTCATAAAAACAGTAATTATTGGGAAATCTGCGTTTTGCTGTTTTCACCTGTGTACTATGCATTTTCTCTCTGAGCCTTTCTCAGTAGAATAGGGACTTTTTTTGTCTCTATGGTAGTTATCTACTGCTACATAACCAATTGCCCCAAAATTTAGCAGATTAAGACAACAACCATTTCTTAGCCCACGCACACCTTTTCTGAGGGTCATGCTAGACACTTCTGGCTCAGGTCTCTCATTAGATTGTAGTTGAGCAGGTCAGCTGGGGCTATGGTCACCTCGAGGCTCCACAAGGACTGAGAACCAACCTGTAAGCTCACCCATGGGGCTGCCCATGACCCAGTTCCTCACCACACGGGGCTGTGTATAGGGCTGTTCATACTACGGCAGTGCTGACAGCCAGATCAGAAGGAATGTAGCCAAAATGGAAGTTGCAGTCTTTCAAAACCTAGTCCTGGAAGATTTCTACCATGGCTTCTGCCATAAGCTGTTGGTCAGGGAGACCAGCTCGCTACAGGGATGGCTCACTCCTGATAACATGAGGGCAGGGCTCTCTAGGTTGTCTTGCATGCTGTACCCACACTCGGACACCACTAACAGGGTCTGGACCTAGTGCGTGCTTGTGGTCCTGAGGGAATGTGTGGGGTGGCTCTGGCTGTAGACACTGTTGGATGATGTGTACACAACCCTGACACACACAACCAGTGACTCTAAGTAAAGCTTTTCTTTTGTTCCGTTCGCCTGGATTTTTATTAAGCAAGCCATCTAACAGACTTTGCATGTCACCATCAGGAGAAACAGTCTGCATTTTGTGGTAGTAATGACCATGTTTCTCTCTTCCCTCAGCTTCCCTCTGGTCTGCTGCTCAAAGGTTCAGTTCGCAGAGCGCTTCATTTTCGCCTGGGTAATATCAAAATGTGGGTTTGGTGACTCTTTTCATCTGTAGAGCTATCTTAATCTAAAACTTCCCATATTTGAGTTTTGTGTGTTCTGTTTTGCTTTACAGTACTGGGGGTCAGGCCCGGGGTACTCAACCACCAAGCTATTCCTCCAGCCTTTTTATTTTTTATTTTGAGACAAGGTCTCTCTAACTTGCCCACAAACTTGCGGTCTCCTGCCTCAGGCTCCTGAGTAGCTAGAATTACAGATGTACACCACCATGCCTGGCTCTGCATTTGGGAGTTTGAAGATGTTTAAATTTTCTTACAGCTCTTTGACAGTATTTTTCTCAGACCCTTAAGTATAGGCAAAACTAAACAGAAATGTGTTCCTGGCCTACATCCCCAGCTCTCATCACAGACAGCTTTAGGTCTGAATTCAGAATTTCAGACCAAGCAGCCTGAGTTGCAAGAATCTCTAGGGAAAACTTGTATGATTCAAAAGAGCATATGCGTTGTTAAAATTTCAAACAGTAATTTTTAATATAAACTGCAGGAAGTGCATTGGACAAAACACCACCAGTAGGAAGAAGCAGGCGGCCAAGGCCACCCAGCCCGGCACGGCCCTCGCTCAGCCCCTGCCAGGCGAGGCAGTATGGCCGCCTGGTAAGAATTCAGCAAAGGCAGATGTTTAAAGGCCACAAGGGCCGGGCAGATGGTTTGGTGGGTGGACCTCCTGTCCAGCAAGCAGGCCCTAGGTTCAGTCCCCAGCACTGCAAAAGCAGTAAGTAAATGAGCTGAGTTTAGGACCTGGTATACAGCTCCAGCAAAAAAATTGTGGCTACACCAGGAGTCTAAGCGCTGGGGGCATAAGAAGCTCTTTGCTTCAAAAAAGAGAAGTTGAAAAACTGAGTGTGAAAGTAAGCAGAAATCCTGTGACCTTTTTCTCATTTCCCAAGTGAGAAGGCCCCAGCTCTCCGCCAGGCGCCATTCTCCCAGGTTCTTTGCATGGTTGTTTCTGTGGTCTTCACTGGGGCCTTGTGGCACCCAGTCAAGGAGACAGTTCAGTACATGGGACAGAGATGTCAGCTGGGCCTTCTGGCCTCACTGTCTCTCATCGTCACTGCTGGGCAGCGGACCTTTATGTTCTTAGGGGCTCTCAAGCCCAGCAGGGTAGGAGAGGGCTGTTCATTACACAGGTGTGGCAGCGCACATCTGCATGCCTGTGAGCGCCACACACGGCCCAGCCTCAGGCATGGGAGGTGCCACATGGTGCCGAGAGCACCTATTACTAGTAGCCATTTAGCTTCTCGTCTTGGAATGCATTGCAGTTCTAGGGCATCATATGCCCCCAGGACGACACCAAAGGAAGGCCAGGTCTAAAGAGCCAGCTGCGGCTTTGCCCCAGCCCCTCACCCTAGCAGCCCCAAGCCCCCACTGCACACACATACGCACACACTCACGCCGCATCCCCCAGTACCAGGCCTGTTCTGGGTATGTGAGGACGGCTCACCTCGGCTGTAAGGCAGCATCCTGGCAGGTGTGCTGGACACACAGAGTCTGAGCTGGGCCTCAGACCTTTCCCTTCAGACACTTAGTGCAAACTATGTCTTAGGGACTTTGGACTGTCTTTCACATGCATGTGACATGTGTTTATGACGTGTTTTTTGTTTTACAGATATGTTCCTAAAACATCCCTGAGTTCGCCACCTTGGCCAGAAATCGTTCTGCCAGACCCAGCTGAGGAGACCAGACACCACACAGGTAAAGACTTTTCAGGGAGTGGTGACAAGAGGGTGCCACCTGCACCCTGCTGCAGCCAGCCGCCTTGGCAGTGACTCCCACACGACAGGACTGCATCTTCCTGGGTGCTGGGCGGTATAGTATTGTGTAAACCCCTGTGTTCATTTATTCAGTAAACACCAAAAACTTTTTTTTTTTTTGGTTCTGGGGATCAAACTCATAATCTCATGCATGCCAGGCAGGTGTTGTGCCACTGAGCTGTATCTTTAGCCCAGCACCAAATTAATTAGTCAATTAATTAATTTTAGCCACTTTTGTTTATTTTCAAATCCAGTTTTTTTCAAAGAGGAAAAAAAAAGAGAAAACAAAATTGCAAATTGCACCAACCAGGGAGCAACAATGGTACATACAGTGTACACTGTCATCCCCAAATCATTCACCCAGAGCACAGGACATCTGCATTCAATTGTCTGAACAGTATCAGTACAAATCCTTCGAAATCAGTAGTGTAAATATCTTAACTACACACATATACACACACACACACACACACACATATATGTTGTTTCTTTTAGCTTCTCACACTAGGGAGAGAATACAATGTTTACATATGTATGTCTGATTTATTTCACTTATGAGTATGGTCTCAAGGTGCATCCATTTACCTATAAAAGTGTCCAGTGTATCCTTTAAGACTGTTACTCCATTATATAGAAATACCACATCTGTTTTATCCATTTCTCACTCAATGGGCACTTAGGTTGTTTCCAAGATCTAGCTATTACAAATTATGATGCTATAAATATGGGTGCACATATATCACTGTGGTATGATGTTTTTAATTCTTTTGGGAAGATGCCCAGAAGGGGAATAGCTGGGTCAAATGGGACCTCTAGTTCTAGTTTTTTGAGGAATCTCCACACTGATTCCCACAGTGGTTACACCAGTCTGCATTCCCACCAACAGTGGAGAAGGGTTCCTTTTTCCCCCTCAGCCTATCCAGCATTTCATATTGTAACACCAACAGTTAAAATGCAAAGAGTAGGTGGTGATGGGGTGGGACAGGTAGGGCTCCACCCATCTCCTCTCCCCTTGTTGGTGGGTGGGCATGCTGCTCAGAGACAGAGCTTGGCCTGTCAGGCAGATTGTGGAACTTGCTAGTGGAGGAAACAGCCCTGCCCACGACCCTGGAGAAGTGTTCTGGTGCTGAAAATCGTCAGACCTGGAGCCGTGTGAGGAGGAGGGGCAGTGTTTGGCCACCACTGCCACGTGGGAGAGCCAGGAGCTCACTTTTCCCAGAAATCTGGAATTCCACACTAGGGAATAGGATCTTCTAGTATTAAGAAACTGTTTCAGATATTGTTCAAGATACACAGTACCCATGGAGGATGGCACCAGGAATTGCTGATGCAAAATCAGGATACAAAATCAGCAGGTGCTCAAACTCAAGCAGGTGCACAGAATGGCTAAGTAGCTGAGCACAGTGGTGCACACCTGTAACCCAGCCACTCAGGAGGGTGGGCAAGAGGATCACAAGTTCAAGCCCAGCTTGAATAGTTTAGTGAGCCCCTTTCTTTCAATAAAAAAGTAATTTGGGATAGATCAGTTGTAGAGTGCTTGCCTACCATGCATGAGCCCCTGTGGTTCGATCCCAGTACTGCAAAACAAAAGAAAGAAAGAAACATTTTAAAAACCAAAGTATTTGCAAATAACCTATATGCATCCTCCTAAAGCCTTGAAATCATCTCTAGATTGCTAATATAATGGACATGCTGTATAATAGCTGTTCTCCTGTACTGTTTAGAGGATAATGACAAGAAAATGTCTGTCACATGCTCAACACGGGCACAGTGTATTCATGAATCTGGTACCTTCAGTCTGACGGTGGTTGGACCTGTGGCGCAGAACCCAGGGACATGGGCAGCCAGCTGTGTTTTAGGAGTTGGGCCCTCACGGTCCACTGTGGTTTCTGGCTCTGACTCCATTTCCTGGCGGGAACTGTGGGGTCCCTCATGTATGCCAGGCCCCAGGCCAGGCCGAGGTTTGGTGCACAGAGGGTGCCTGTTCAGAGCAAAGGGTGCTGGATAGAAGGAGCTGAGACCCAAAGGAGGCAGTGATGACAGAAGCAGAGAAGGCTCCATGTGGGCGCCGTGTGGGAGACCGTACAAGAGCATCCGCCTGAGGTCATCAGGATATAAGGCTGGGTGCTGGGGTGTCTCTGCCCATCCCTCAGGGTGTGCACTTCCAACCTGCTGGCTCCTTATTAGTAACCAACATCATTAGCTGAGTGGGGGGGCTCTTCCCCCAGCGCTGTAGGAAAAAGCCAGGCACACTGAATGCTTAGGCCAGGAGGTCCCACAAGGTGATTTGGGCTTGCTCTGAAGGCTGACGGGGCTGCCGTCTGTCAAGCCCCACATGCCTGGCTGCCACTGTCCCTGAGAGGATAGCCTGACCCATGCCGGGTGCATGAGCTGCGGAGGCTGGAGCCCTGCAGCGGGGCAGCCAAAGGGCTAGGGTGAGGTGGCAGTGCCATTTCGCCTGGCCGACTGCCACCCGCTTCCCTCGCAGAGGTTGTAAAGAAGGTGAACGAGCTGATCGCCTCGGGCCAGTACGGCCGGCTCTTTGCCGTGGTGCACTTCGCCAGCCACCAGTGGAAAGTGACCGCCGAAGACCTGATCCTAATTGAAAATGAATTAGACGTCATGTGTGGAGAGAGGATCCGGCTGGAGAAGGTAAGGCTGTCACATGTCTGTGTCCACACAGGGGCCCAGCAACCAAACAAGGGGCTCCACTCCCCCTCTATCACCAAGGAGGTGTCCCCAACTCCAGTTGAGGCTGCCTGGCTGGGGACAGGCTGCTCTTCAAGGACAGACGGTAGCTGGGCCCGCAGATCGGCTCTTGGAAGGGAACAGCAGTTTCTCTGAGGATGAAAATAGGTCCGTGGCTTTGCCTGTAGATGTGTCAGTTCCCACAGTACATTGTTCGGTCACGGGTATAGTGAGCTCCCAGATGAGGAAGGGAAGGCAGGAAGTTCCTGGTAAAACACTGCTCCTGCATCGGATTTACAGCTGCACTGGTTAATCTGTGGGGGCAGCTTGGGGCTTTTCCCAGGTGCTCACCAGCCATGCAGAGCTGCTGGTCTCAGGTTAGCTGACCAGCCCTGGCCTTCAGCTAGAAATCTGATGCTGTGTTTGGAGGCCTGTTTAATTTTTGCCTTTATTTATTTATAACATTATAATGGCCCCTGCAGTTTTTCTAGGACAGATTATAAAAGCAGTGTAGCTGGGAACGATGGCACGTCTATAATCTCAGTGGTCAGGAAGCTGAAGCAGGGGGATCATTGCAAGTTTGAGACCAGCCTGGGCTACAAAGTGAGTTCAAGGCCAGCCTGCCTGCATAGTGACACCCTGTCTCAAAAGAAAAAGCAATATATATAATTCTTCCCACTTTTAAAAAAATTTATTTGTGTTGGCGGGTACTGCAGTCAGACGTAGACCCCTGAATTGACCATTCATTGCCTTACTGTGTGTCTCAGGCCAGCCACAAACTTGAAATTCTCAGGCTGGGGATTTAGCCCAGTGGCATAAGAGGCTTGCCTGGCAAGTGTGAGGTTGTGAGTTCGATCCCCAGTATCAAAAAAACCCAAAAACTTGAAAACCTCCTTTTTCAGCCTCCAGAGTACCAAGATTACAGGCATGTACCATGATGCCTAGTCCTTATTTGAGACCTTATCTTGGTTACTTTTCTTCTCGTTGCTGAGACAAACTAACTGACACTCAAAATAAGGAAAGAAAAGGTTTATTTAGCTCAGAGTTTTTGAAGATTTCAGTCCATACTTAGCTGGCTCCAAGATAAGGTGGTGTGGCTAAGGGGCAACATGGCAGGTGCAGTAGATACCAGAAGCCACAAAAGGAAAGGGGCAAAGAGAGAATGCACAGCTCCTACCTTCCCGTATATTGGATGCCAACACCTGCCGTGGCGGGTGCAGCACTCACACCCCCAATCCCAGCACCAGGCAACAAACCAATCACAAGGGGTAGATTCAGCTGCCTCCATGACTGCATGGAGCTTTAGGGGGACATTTAAACAAACCATAACAGAGCTGAAGAAATGAACATGCTCAGACTGGGGGTGTGGATCAGTGGAAGGGTACGTGCATGGCGTGCTCAAGACCCTAGGTCTCCAGCACCAAAAAACCAGCAAAATTAGTGGGACACAGAAGTGCATTTTTCTCTTTTACTTTTTGATTTTGTGTTTGTACATGTCTGCTATACATAATGAGTATATTCACCTTGGGGACTGAGTTTGCCTGTGAAGATTTTTCAAAAGACATTATGCACCTGCCTTGCAAGCAGGCAGTCGTGAGTTCAATCCCCAGTACCGGAAAAAAGCAGAAAAAAAAAAAAAAAAAAAGACATTATGGCCTCTTCTCAGTATGTATCTGAGAGGAGATGGTTTCCAGGACCCCAGGATGCCCACAGTTCCCTCTGTAAGATGGTATAGCATTTGCATAGCACCCACACACGTCTTCACATGCCCCAGGGATCCCCAGCTCCTAACAGCTAAGTGCTGTGTAAGTAGTCATGGTACTGTGTTCTGAGAATAAAAGACTTGTTGGTTGAACAAGTATGGTTGAAGTTTTGTTTTGTTGTTTTGTTTTTGTTTTCTTTTGTTTTTTCCAAATACTTTCATTCCACACTTGGTTGAGTCTGTGGTTCAATCTTAAACACAAACCCAAGGGTACTGTATTTTAAAACATTTCCATTAAAAATTATAGAATGTCTCACCTAATGTACATTTTTGTATAACTTAAGGAAATCGTGAAGTATAAAATATTTCATGCTCAAATTAACTCTAATGTATCTATTTATAGATGTACTTTGGCCTAGTGTGCCTGAAGACCTGGGTTCTATCCCCATCCTTGTCCCCCCCAAATAATTACTCTTCCTAGCTAATATGCCTTGTTCCTTGATGTTCTTTACACAGTTCAGTTTAGTGGAACTGGATTTTTTCTTCCCAGTAAAGTGTGAGGAAGTCTCCTGACCCCTAAGGAAAGCGTTATTACCGCACTTGCAGCACACAAATGTCTGCATCTTGGCCATAACATTCGGTTTGTTGCTGGTGCTGATGCTGGTGTTTGCAGTTCTGAAGATGGAACTCGGGACCTCACGCATGCTGAGCAAGTGCTCTCCCCTGGCAACACCCCCAGCGCTTTTTATGTTGAGACAGTCTTACCAACCACTGTGGAAGCAGTTAGCACTGCAGTGTGCCCTGGCTCCGAATGTTTGCCTGCTTGCATGGAATTCAGTCATTGAAAAAATACAAGCTGGGGGGCTGGGGATTTAGCTCAGCGGATAAGCACCTGTCTTGCAAGCAAGGAGTCGGGAGTTCGATCCCTGGTACCGATAAAAAGGAAAAAGACAAAAAAAAAAAAAATACAAGCTGGGCCTAGTGACACACCCTATGATCCCAGCGCTCGGGAGGGCGAGGCAGGATCGCTGTAAGTTTGAGGCCAGGCTATGCTGCATAGTGAGTTGAAGGCCAGCCTGAACTGCACAGTGAGACCCTGTCTAAAAAAAAATAAATGAATAAATGGATGGATGGATGGATGAGTGGGTGAATGGATGGGTGAGTGGGTGGATGGATAGGTGAATGGATGGGTGGGTGGATGGATGGATGGATGGATGTGAGTGGATAGGTGGGTGGATGGGTGGGTGGATGGGTGGGTGGATGTATGGATGGGTGGATAGATCATAGATAGATGGGTGGGTGGGTAGATGGATGAATGAACAAATACAGTTGCCAGGCATGGCATAGTACATGCGTGTAACCCTGTGTGGAAACCTGAGGCAGGAAAATCACAAGTTTGAAGCCAGCCTGGATGAGTTAGCAAGACCCAGTCTTTAAATCTGTTTTAAAAGGGACAGTGAAGGTAGAGCACGGGCTGGTCTGCAGGAGGTCTGGGTTCAATCCCCAGTGCCACCCCCACCCCCAAAAACAAGCCACACAGCTGGACCTGTATCTTTGCACTGTTGGCCGTACTGAGAGCTCTTCCAAAGACGCCATAGTAGGATTTACTGATTTTCTTTGTGCATGTTATGCTTCAATAAGTTTTTTAAAAATCAGAATGGGGTTATAGCTCAGGAAGGCCCCGAGTTCAATTACCAGTATGAAGAGAGGGTTTTGTTTTTTGAGCTTTTTTTTTTTTTTTTTTTTTTTAGTAAAGTACAATTTAAATCAGAAGTAGTAATTCTAGCTGCACAACTGTAGCATCCAGGATCAAAACATACTTATCCTTCCTCTGAGGGCCTGGGTATTTGCATAAGATAGCCCCCTCTCCTGTTGGCGGGACCCCCCCTCTTCAATGCTGAATAAGTCCTTACATGGCAGATCAGCCCCCCGCCACAGTGTGTGACACTCAGGCAACCAGGAGACCTTGAGGTGTGCTCACCTCACTCCCTGGTCTTGGTGGCTGGTATGTAACTCTAGTAATGAGCCATTGATGAAACACCCCTTGTGTGTTTTTCAGGTGCTGCTGGTCGGCGCGGACAACTTCACACTTCTTGGCAAGCCACTCCTTGGGTAATGCATCGCCGGATGCCAGGATTATCAGGGCCGGGATGTGCAGGCTGCAGCGGTGCGGTTGGGCGGGCGGAGGGCAGACGTACACATTCCCGACCGGCACTGAGCACCAGGGTGTCCTGCGTTACAGTGGTGGATATTGAGTGTCCTGCGAGGAGTCAAGCAGTCCAGACCTTTGGTCTGTGCTAATTTACTGTGTTACAGCCTTTAAGAATTTTTTGGCAAAGAACCATTCTTTGTTGCACTTTTTTATAATTTTCAAAATATTTACAATGAGGACATATTGTTTGTACTGTATAATCAGCAAAAAAGTTCATTTTAAGAATCCTTGCAGGAATTTTAGCAAGCCATTACTAGACCAGGTCTAGCACAGTTGTGAAGTGCTTACCTAGAATGCCAGACTGCCTGAGTTCAGTCTCCAGCACTGGAAAAAAGTAAAGGAAATTGGAAAATAAGAAGATTGATCATTGTTTCTCTTTCTTACTTCCAGAAAGGATCTTGTTCGAGTCGAAGCCACAGTCATTGAGAAGACAGAATCATGGCCCAAAGTCAACATGAAATTTAAGAAGAGGAAAAACTACAAGAAGAAAAAAAGTGAGTGAGAGGCTGTGGGTCCTGTGTCCTGTACTGCAGGGGTCCCTGGTGGGGCTCCTGCCTGGACTGCCAGTCCCTGCAGAGATTGCTGTGACTCAGCACGGCGTGCAGGCCCCCACTAGAGGAATACAGGCATCGGCAGCCTCGGGCCATGACAGGAAGTGAAGTGATTCAGACCACACACACACACAGGACCGGACCAGACCATCAGCCGGGATGCTCTCAGGGGAGCAGTGTCCGGCACAGCAGAGGGGGGCTGCCCCATGCCACAGCTGCAGCCAGGACAGTGCTGTCTGACAGAGTTTAGAGGTGAAGCCAGTTGCGGTGGCTCTCTTCGTCCCCTTTCCTTGCTGCTAGGACTGAGCCCTGACACCCACAGCTGTGGGGGGAAAAGGTTCATTTTGGCCCACTACCGTGATCTGTAGTCCACTGGCTCCAGGGCAGGAGGATCTGGCAGAAGCGCATGGTGGAGGAGAGCTGCTCTCTGCTCAGAGCCAGGAAGCGCAGGGCTAAGGGAGCAGGGAAGGAGCTGCACCCTTCCAGGTCACCCCTGCAGTGAGCTGCCCTTTCCCCAGCCCCGCCTCTTAATGGCACATTCAGGTATGGCGTCCCATGATTCAGTCACCTATCAAAAGCTCTGATTCTAGGGGGACCTAGATATAAATAACAGTGCCAGATGCCTGGATTGGGGTGTAGCTCATATTGTTCTTGCCTAATAGTGCCCCCAACATTACTAGGAAGACTGAGGCAGGAGGATCTCAAGTTTGAGGCCAGCCTAGGCAACTTAGTGGGACCCTGTCTTAAAAAACGATGAGATGCAGCTCAGTGCAAGGGTCCTGGGGTCAAACTTCAGTACTGCAAAAAGGAAAAAAACAAAGCTTAATGATAAGCAGACCCTACACTTTTGAGCACACACACATATATGTGTCCATGCATAATAGCTGTCTCAAAGGGAGCCGATTAAGCCCAGAGTCCTTGGCTGTGGTGACCTCTGCAGGGCAGCAGTGGAACAGGAACCTGAGGAACGCAGCCGATGAGCCCTCATTTCCTAGTCAGGTGACAGGCAGTCCGGTGCCATTTAACCTTACAGATGTTACATGGAATCTTCCTGCATGACTGTTGTCATCTCAGAGCCTTGTGCCTGCTGGGCAGGTCCCCTCTCTGGGCTCCATCCCAGCCTGCACTGAGTTCCAGGAATAACAACAGGCAGAATGCAGTGGGTGGAGGCAGCCAAGCGTAGCGCCCTCTGAGGGGGCTTACAGACAGGGGGGCAGGAGGGTACGGGCCCAGACCATCAGTGGTGCCAAAATGGACTAGTGGGGCCTTTGGTCAGAGGCTGGAGGAAGCGGAAGCAGAGGAGGCCACAGGGCCAGTGTGGGGAGTCGCCCCTGGGCAGAAGCCCAAGGCCAACAGCATTCAGTGGGCCACACACAGGGCGCAGCCGGAGGCACCTGGGTGCTGTAGGAGGGGCCTGAAGGAGGGCCCAGTGCAGACCTAGAGGGAGGGGAGGAGCAGCACCCCACAGTCCCACAGGTGACGGGCAGTGAGCCCAGCTGCAGAGGGGGAGGAGCCCAGGAGGCTGCCTCCTCAGGGCAGGCAGGCCTCAGTCCTGGGGGGCTACACACATTGGGTGCACAGATGGAGGCCGAGTGACAGGTCAGTGAGGGGAACAGGCCCAAGGTACAGGCAGGTTGGTGGCCGGCCCAGGCTCACTCAGGATCCTCTGATGGTCAGAGCTGTGGTGAGGTGATGCCATGCTTGGAGCTGGTGCCCCTGGTGCCTGCAATTTGAGAAGTACTGGTGGGGGTGGGAGACAGTAAGTGCTGGCTTCTGGCAGGAGGGAGCAAGGTGGCTCATCAGAGGGGCAGCTGCATCCAGGGCCTCAGTCGGGACAAACAGCCCTACTCCCTGTCTCATCGTGGAGGGCTCACTGATGGGTCTGGCCTCACTTTCCCCATTGTCCTTGACCTGCCACATGCCACCCTGCCATGCCCCAATGTCAGACACCTGGCATTGCCCCCAGAGCAGCAAAGCACATGAGGAATGTCCTCCCAGAGGCCTGCATAAGACACCAGTTACCCACAAAGCAGCAGTGTCTTAGGCAGGACCTCGGGCCATGAAGCAGCTGCAGAATCCTGTCCCTGGTGATTTGTGTCACTCAGCTCTAGGTTCCAACAGTTGTCACCAACTGGCCACTAGCAGTGAGGTGTGGTTACATGGACCCCACAAGGAACAGCTCAGGCTGGGGGCAGGACCCTTTCCTGTCCTCGGCTTTCCCAGAGGGCTTTGGAGTAAGCGCTCAGCTCCTGCCCGTCGAAACCCAGAGGCGTAAGTGAGCATGGACAGGACTGGGCACCTTGCATGGAGGCCACTGGCCTTTCAGCCTCCAGAGGTGTAGAACCAGTGAGCCAGGTAAGCAGTGCATACCTTGGTGACATGGGATGAGGGACACTGGAAGGGGACTGTGTTGTCTGGGTGGGGACTGCACTGTCAGCAAGCTGGCGCCAAGGCAAGGTCTCTGGACTCGGCCAGCAGCGCCAGGTATCAGCCCTGGCTATAGTGTATTCACAGCGGACCGGAGCTGTCAGGCCCGTGACCGAGTTTTCTTTCTTTTCAGTTATTGTGCACCCCCAGACTGTCCTCCGGATTAACACCATTGAGATCGCTCCGTGTTTGCAGTGATCACCGAGCCAACACTAAGAAGAAAAAATAGCTGGGCACGACCGCACATGCCGGTGACCCCTGCACTGGGAGACTAAGGTGGGAAGATGGAAAGTCTGAGCCCACCCTGTCAGTGTGAAGACCCTGGGTTCATTCCTCAGTAGCAGAGGTCTGGGGGAACAAAAGTAAATTCTTATTTTCCAAGATGGTTGCTCTTCTGTGTTTAACAGAAAAAGCCATGCATTCCTGGGAGAGGGTGGTTAATTTAAGCACCAGGTCTATGTGTAGCCGATTTCTGAGCCAGGGAGAAGAGCCCAGGAAGAATGGCAGGCATGTCCCCCTGGCCTGAGTGGATGCTTGTGTAAGAGACAAAATGCTGTTCTTGGCAGCCTCCAGCCTGGGGCAGCTGGGGACCTATCGGGGCTGGAGGGTGGATGTCAGGAGAGGCACAACCTGGATTCTACTTGAGGATGAGGGGAAAAACCAGGAGCGAACTCCACCTCAGACCCCCAGCACAGCCAGCCAGGCAGTGCTGAGTCCTCCATTGTCTTTTGGCTTCCGTTGGTCCAGCAGGGAGGGGTCATTACAGAGCTGCGGACATACAGGCAAAGCAGCATAGCCAGCAGCCAGAAGGGCAGGGGAGGCCAAGGCCCAGGATGGAGGTGGATGGCCTGGGGCAAGGCGCACACGTCCTGGGCACCGGATGCAGCAGCCCAGGGACAGCAGAGGGTTCCCATGAGTTGTGAATTTGTCTAGCAGCGCAGGCAGCTATATGGGTCAGGCAGGCCGTGGGGAGGCCCCTCTGGGATACTAATGCAGGGAAGAAGGGACAAGGTTGCAGGCCCAAAGTGACCAAGGCAGCACCCCAGAGGAAAGGAAGCCAGACGGAGGACTCAACTGAGCCAGGCACCTGGGCGGGAGCAATGGCAGACATGCTGTCCACCAAGGGAAAAGCTTAAGGGCCCTCGAGTGAGAGCAGAAGCTGCAGGGTGAGTTCCTCCACATGACCCAGCAGCACCTGAGAGCCCCCTGAGATCTAGAAGACCTGCCAGGGGACCTCTGCAGTGGGCGCTGCAGAATGCTGGCCTGGCTCCCCTGCTGTGCCCTCTGTGTGCAGCAGAGGGCAGTGTCCAGCTGGCCCCAGGACCCCAACAGCCTAAAGGGAGGATCCTCAAGCCCCAGGGCTCCACTTTGGCTGTGGGAAGGCTGTGGACGGAGCCTGGGGTGTAGCTCACACTCTGCAGGTTCTGACAGATTTCTGGTCTGCATCTAATATTGTGTGCCAGCCCTGCTCCAGAGCCTAAGCGCCGGCCTGTGCCCCAACCTCATCCCTGGGGTTCCCTCTCAGCAGCCCTGCACGGTCTCAGGGGTGCGCACTCCAAATCCTTTTCACTGTGCTTACCCATGCTCCATACTGTGCCCAGCCACAGAATGAGTGCCCACAGCATCTGCCTGCACTAGGCAGGTCGCCACCCACTTGCTCCCCAGACTGCACATGGGCTTCCCCAGCCCCTGCCACCCCAAAACCTCAGGTCAGGCGCAAGGAGAGCAGTAAAGGACACGAGAAATGAGGATAGCCCAGCAGCTGAGCACATGGGCGTAGGATCAGACCTCCACCCCTGTCACTCACCAATGTCTCCCCACATGCCTCCCCATGTGCGTCCCCCACCTGCCCAAGGGAAGAGATTGTGGAAGCTCCCAGTGTGCTGTGCTGATGACATGAGCCACTCCCAGCCCAACACCTCCCTGCCCACGGGTCCCTGTTGCAGAGGGAACATGCCTGCCAGCTTGTCACTTGTCCTGCTTCCTCATGATCTGATGCAAGTGTCTGGGGTGGCACAGCCTAGTCAGCTCACAAAGAAAAGAGCTGAGCAGTGAGAGACAATCTCATTAAGTTGCCCTGCTGCCCAGGTTGGGCTTGAATTTGGCAGTTTTTCTGTTGCAGGCTCCCAGGAGGCTAGGATTACAAGCCTGTGCTGCTATGTCTGGCTGATTTTCAAACACGTTTATCAGCATGACCTTAATTATCCTTGATTAATCTGAACAGCTATGTAACAATCAGGGTGAGAAAGAGGCGGTCAGCGGTATTGATCTGTGTCACCAGCTCGTGTGGGCCTGCCCGGGCCGTCCTGCCTCAGTGGTCCCTCCTGTTTTGGGCCCCCCATGCCCCCTTCGCCTGACCTTGCCATCTGCACATGTGTATTGGTGTGTCCATGGTTCCTCCTCTGCTCCCTGCACAGCTGGGCTGACAGCGGCGAGGGCGCACATACCCATTTGTTTGGGGTTTCGTTTTATGGTGCTAAGGATGAAACTGAGGGCCCCATGAATGCCTGGCATTCTCTTGACCGCTCAGCTGCCTGCCAGCTGTTTTACTTGCTAATGTCTACCCAGCAGCAACTCCTCACCAGGCATGTGCAGCTCTCTGAGTGAATGAACTTCCCCTCAAGATCCCCAAGTCCAGGCAGCTGGGAGCCAGTGAGGCTAGACGTGGTGAGGGCAGATTGGCTCCTTCAGTGAAGTGCAGCTGTCAGTGCAATCCGGGGCACTCACAGGTGGGGTACTCCCTTGTGAGCTAGTAGTGGCCCAGGAGTCTTGCAGAAGACAAAGTCCTATGTGCCTAGGGCCAGACCTGGCTCTGGAAGCACCCAGTGTGTAATTTGCACCATGAGGCAGCAGGGCTTGGTGATCAGCAAAAGGGCCACCCTCCCCATTGGCATGTGGCTCCAGGGGACCCAGCGGTCAGCACAGCAGCTGCTCCACAGCATTTGCTTTTGGCATCTGCGTGCCCCAGGCCTCTGGCTCCTGAGCCACCTACCTGCAGTGGCCCATAGCTAAGTGAGCACACTTGGAAGGCTGGGTGCCCTTTGACCCAGCCCCTGGCCACATGCCTTGTCCCATGACAGCCCAGTAGGGCCGACGCCCCGTTCCCAGCACAGAAACGGGTTGGTGCAGAAGCCTAGGCTGCCTAGTGTTCCAAGAAGACACGCCTGGGTTCCCTCTCTTCCCTCTCTCCTCTTACCCTGGCTGCAGGAGGACATGGAGGCCCTGGACCCTGGCCAGTGCTGAGAACCCAGATGTGATGTATAGAGGAAGGTGTGAGAGGCCTGCCCTGCACCAGGCAGCTTATAATCATCAGGCTGGCAGCGCCATATCAGATTGCCTGTGGAAATGATCTCTGAGGTGCAAAGATCATTTCCTCAGGGGTTTAAGGTGGAATGACAGCTTGGGATGCCTGGCATACCAAGGCAGAAGCAGTGGGGGGCCTGGGCCCAGGGGCTTAGCGCCTGAGCAGGGAGGCTGTGCACTGTGGGGCTTTCTCCATCCCCCCAGGTTCCCAGTAAAGCTTGCCAAGTGTGTCCTGGGCTCGGGACCTGGACCGGGACAGCAAACTCCCACAAATGCTATCTGTTCTGTTCTAGATACGGAAAGATTGTACCATGGAGAGGTGCCAGCCCAGCTCAGTGGCACTGTGGCTGCACTTTGGAACCCTCTGACATGCCTGTCAGGGTCAGGCACACCAGCTACCACAGCAAACAAATCCAACTCCCTAGGCGCAGGTTAGGGAATTGTTTGTCCCTGGCTCCTGGCACAGAACTCCTGAAACCCATGGGATTTCCTAAGGAGTGTGTTTCGTTTTCCATCATGAGTCCCTTTTGACCACACCTGGGTTTATGCTGATGGGACAGCCTTGCCCCCAGACACCCTGAGCAATGGGCCCTGACACCAGAAAGATCAGGTGATCAGAAGCCTGGGACTTTTGGTCCCACTCACTGACCTCGGGGAAGGACAGGGCTGGAGACAGAGCTCTAGGGAACACTAGAGAAACTCTTGTACAGCCGGATATGAGGAGCCCCAGGAGGTCAAGGCCACAGAGGTCCTGGATCTGGCAGCCCAAGATGCTCTGGGCATGACTTGGCTGTTCCCAAGTTGTCTGCTTTGCAATAAATGGAAACATAAGTGAAATCCTGCCCTGAGTTCTGTGAGCCTCTGGAGCAAATGATCTAACCTCAAGAGAGCCGTGCACGCTTTAGTGTGTAGTGATGGGTCAGGAATACTGAGGACCAAACTGCCCACTAGCACCTGCAGTGGGGCGGTCCCATGGGCCTGTGTGAGGCCAGGGGCCTGGTGTGCCTAGCTAAACCACGGTGCACCTGCTGGGGTTGGGGACTGCTAGGCCTGGAACCCCAGACACCCAGGGTCCGCATATGTAAAGGAACACAGTGATTGCTCAGCCTTGAGATTTGCTTGCATGGCCTGGCTCATGGACTTGTGAGGTTTGGGAAGAAAAAGATAAAAGAGTAGGGAACTTTGACTCCTGGGTGGCACGTAGTCACCCTGTGTGCACAACAACTACGCTGATGCCACTGCTGAAGGTGAGAGTCATCGGTGGGAGCGAGGACAGCGCAGGCTCCTGGGCAGGGCACATGAGAAGTGCAAAGTGGTAGTCAGGTGTGGCGACACAGCACTGCAGTCCCACCTATTAGGAAGATGGAGGCAGGAGCTTGCAGATCGCAAGTTCGAAGCCAGCCTGGGAAACTTAGCAAGGCCCTGTCTCAAACCTAAAAAACCAAAAAGTTATGGCTCAGTGACTCAGCTCTTGCCTCTCATGCATGTGACCCTGGGTTCCATATTCAGCACAAGAAGGAGAAGAAGAGAAAGAAGGGAGGGAGGGAAGAGGAAGAGGAAGGAAAAAAGGAATCAAAAGCATCTTGTCCTTTGGTTACCATTGCCTGGAATAACTGAAATAAAAGTAAAGGACACCACTGGGCCCAGCCTTGGTACTAGACCAAGCTCTAATGTCCAGTCACCAGGCAGGTGGCCTTGCAGGGAAAACTGAGGAAACAGAGGCACGGGGCAGGGGGAGTCATTTCATTCTGGACACTGCTAGCATCCTGAGACTCCTTTATTAAGACCAGCCGTAGCTGGGGCGTAGCTCAGTGCTACAGTGTGTGCTAGCAGGCAGTCCCCACAAAATGGCACTGCTGGGTGGCAGCGGGAGATGAGGGAGGTGCAGGACCCGCAGCTTACTCTGGACAATCCTGGTTGTCCCCAGGGAAGTGTCCTGCCCCATGAGCTGGACAGACGCCATGCAGCATGCATTATCCCCTTACAAGGCACTGTCCCTTGCCACCTCAACACCAAGACAAGTACTGGTTTCCCACACTAGCCGTGCAGGCCGGGTTGCATGGTGCCACAGGGCATCC